GTCAAAATGTCTTACAGTATGTCCAGTAATGAACAAGAGAACTTGGGTAAGATAAAGCTCACCGCACACCGAAACGCAGCGCCTCGCGGCGCGTCACTTGACGCGCGTTCATGACATGTGTCAAATTACACCGGAACGCCTTGGCTAGCGTCCTTTTCCAGCTGATCGCAGATGAAATGGGTGAGTGACGTTTGGAAGTTTCTACTAATATTTTGGGGGAGGAAACAAAGTATTTACGTGAAATTATGCTGGCAAATATTACAAGAAAAGACTATTTGGACCCATTTTTTAAACAGGCTAATAACTAGCTCTGGGTAACGCTGTACTTGGGTTATCAAGCTTTCCTCGTCCATTGTGACCGGTTTACTTGAGCAATAGCGCCGACAAGTGTGTAAATTTGAGACCGCGCTCACAGCTACGTGATAAGAAGCGCAGAAGAAGAAAACTACGGGTGCTTGGAGGGACAGTTTCAGCCGCGGCGCCGCGTCTGGATTCAACAAAACTGAATCGTGGCGCCCGGTCCAGCGTCGCCGCGCGTCACTGCAACCTTGGTGTGCGTTCTCTCATAGAAAATAAAGGAGGCGGCTCTTTTGCCGCGCGTCAAGGCGTTTCGGTGTGCGTTGGGCTTAAGAGAAACTTTATCTTTAAAAATAGCACTTTGCAGCTGACATGTCCTAACAGTAAGCCAGTAGTAAGAGCACACACAGGGCACACAAAATACAAAAGAAATAGCTGTTACATTTCTTAGCTAGCTGTAAATGTTTAATTATTATGTACATATTTATATATATAAAGTTATATACACGCAGGATAATAAAGTGACATTAAGTGGGCATACTGAAATTCAGTATTGCACATGTTTTAGTATTCAATATTTACAGGTGAATGACATGTGGGGGTGAATGAGTCCGTGTTTGTGAAAGTAATGACAAAGGACATCGAGTAGGAGCAGGTCATGGTGAATTTACAACAGCTAGATATCTGGAGCACAACTCTAGCCTTCCCTCATCAAATTCATCCACAATTTTTGGCAGCATGTGTGTATGAAGGTACTGATATGCCTCCGAGCTCTTCAGGTTGTTGATCGCATTTCCATCCACAGCCATGGAGTCAACGAAGTACGAAAATATTTTTGTTGTGGTGATTTTCGGCCATTTAGACATGTTGTCATCCCAAGTCGTTATCATGGATGGATGGGGAATTGTACAAACTCCATCTTTCGTGAGAAATGTCGCCGAATGTCTCCATTTAAGAGACATAATTCACGAAGGAAAAACACGTTTTTAAACAGTAAAAGAGCGTAACCGGAAATGAGAACACAAAAGCCGGAAGTAAACCGGAAATGCCCAAAAAACTCGTCTATAATGTATATATGGTCAATTATTTGGCTTAGAGGTTCCCGGCCCAGGCCTATGCAGAACAGCAGTGGGGACAGAGCCAGGGCTAAATCAGGGTTAAACCATGACTAAACCAGGGCTAAACCAGGACTGGCCCTCACCCATAAGACCTCGCCTATATCTGTAAACAAGTAGTGCCAAAGTGGAAGATGGCTTTTCATCACATGAATTATTTGTGACACTGAAAGCCTTGATGCTAACCCTGAGTTAGCATCTCTGCCTCACACACACTTTAAAACCCTCTTACTCTGTCCACATACAACACACATGCACACACACAGAGACACACACACACAGAGAGAGAAAGAGACTCACACACACACACACACAGAGAGAGAGAGACACACACACACACAGAGAGACTCGCACACACACACACACACACAGAGAGACTCGCGCACACACACACACACACACAGAGAGAGACACACACACACACACAGAGAGAGAGACTCGCACACACACACACACACACACAAACAGAGAGAGAGACACACACAAATACACGCACACACACACACAAATGTGGCGGGTGGATTTGTTTTTGCTGTGATGAAAGGATTATTGGATCAGTGAAGCAGCGACAGCAGAGAGAGCGGTTTTAGTTCAGTTTTTCTCCACATCGTTCTCCACTTGTTCTGATCTCGTTCTGATCTCGTTCTGATCTTGGATGTATTTGTGGCGTTTTTAAACTTTGGATTTGTACATTTTGATGGATCTAGAATGGATTTGGACCAGTTTTGCTGATTTATGATGAACCCAAAAGGACTTTAGCTTCACTCATGACAGATGTTTCCCAGTCGTCTGGAGTCTTGTGGGGACGATGTGCTCATCTAGTATGGATTCTTCTTCTACGCTCCATGGTTTCATACGTACTCTTGGAATCATTCATCTACGCTTCATGGTTTCATACGTACTCTTGGAATCATTCATCTACGCTTCATGGTTTCATACGTACTCTTGGAATCATTCATCTACGCTTCATGGTTTCATAATTAGTCTTGGAATCATTCATCTACGCTTCATGGTTTCATAATTAGTCTTGGAATCATTCATCTACGCTTCATGGTTTCATAATTACTCTTGGAATCATTCATCTACGCTTCATGGTTTCATAATTAGTCTTGGAATCATTCATCTACGCTTCATGGTTTCATAATTACTCTTGGAATCATTCATCTACGCTTCATGGTTTCATACGTACTCTTGGAATCATTCATCTACGCTTCATGGTTTCATAATTACTCTTGGAATCATTCATCTACGCTTCATGGTTTCATAATTACTCTTGGAATCATTCATCTACGCTTCATGGTTTCATACGTACTCTTGGAATCATTCATCTACGCTTCATGGTTTCATAATTAGTCTTGGATTCATTAATCTACGCTTCATGGTTTCATAATTAGTCTTGGAATCATAAACAATCATGATTTTCACAGATATTGAATTAAAATTTAGTTTTATATTTTAATTCTATTTCACTCTCTGTTAAAAACAAAAAAAACATGGCTTTGCTTGAATGTGCTTCCATTAGGTTAGAGTTCGTTAGAGTTAGGGTTAGTTAGAGTTAGGTATATGACAGTAATAATAATAATAATAATAATGCATCAGTTTTATATAGCGCTTTTCTGGACTCTCAAAGCTTCTTCACATCATTATTCATTCACTCCAAACACGGTGGTGATAAACTACTACTGTAGCCACAGCTGCCCTGGGGCACACTGACAGAAGCGAGGCAACCAGTCTGTGCCATCGGCCCCTCCCACCACCACCAACCATTCACACACACACCAGACTCATTCTAGGCAATGGGAGTGAAGTGTCTTGCCCAAGGACACAACGGCAGTTTGGCACTTTACAGCCACAGCCGCCCCACTGTAGCACCTGGTGTCATAAACACCATGTTGATGCAAAGGCCTCCATCCATCCATCCATCCATTATCTTCCCCTTAATCCATTTCTGGGTCGGGGGGTGGCAGTCAGAGCTGCACCAGTACACATAGCACCAGCCCCTCACTGATCCTCCTGCAGGTGGTGAGTCCACAGGAGCTGAGATCTTTCAGTGGGGGCTTCAGGCAAAGTGGGGTTAAGTGTCTTGCCCAAGGACACAACGACAGCAGTCATCAGTGGGAGTCATGGAGTAGGTCTTACGGTGGGCTCGAACCCACGACCTTCAGGCTCAAAGGCCAATGCTCTACCAACTGAGCCACTGTCGCCCAATGCAAAGGCCTGATACAGTTAATTATGTTAACTAATATACTATACTATACTAAAAAAAAAAAAATCTCACCTTTGGCCCTCCGTGGGCGGTTATCCCTCTCTAAGCTCGGGTCCTCTACCAGAGGCCTGGGAGCTTGAGGGTTCTGCGCAGTATCTTTGCTGTTCCTAGCACTGCACATTTCTGGACCGAGATGTCCGAGGTTGTTCCAGGGATCCGCTGTAACCACTCTTCTAGCTTTATATATATACTAATTATATATATATATATATATATATATATATGATATAATGATGTAGTGAAGTATTTACTTCATGACTTGATGTAGTGAAGTATTTTGAGCGCTGACTGTAGTGTTTTTCTGCAGCCATAAGGACAAGCCTTCAGGCTGGCCCCCCCCCGGCCCCGGCTCCTGGGGGGCACTACAGGGCCCCCCCTACAGCTGGGACATGACCAGCTCCAGAGACGACTACCTCACCAAGTAAGTCACATCCTGAGAGTACTATTACATCCTTAGAGTACTATAGTACTATTACATCCTCAGTGTACTAGAGTAATCTTTGTTTATATACCGCCTTTTCCAGACCAGATAGAGACCAGAGAGAGACCAGAGAGAGACCAGAGAGAGACCAGAGAGGGACCATAGAGAGACCAGAGAGATACCATAGAGAGAGACCAGAGAGAGACCAGAGAGAGACCAGAGAGAGACCAGAGAGAGACCAGAGAGAGACCAGAGAGAGACCAGAGAGGGACCATAGAGAGACCAGAGAGATACCATAGAGAGAGACCAGAGAGAGACCAGAGAGGGACCATAGAGAGACCAGAGAGATACCATAGAGAGAGACCAGAGAGAGACTTCTAAAGTTTACTGGTGTGTTTTGATCATGGTCCTTTAGCATCATCCTCTTTTCTGACAACTGTTGACAGTTTTCCTGCGACATAAACAAATGTTTACAAAAAGCAGCGTCCTGAATGTTGGGTTAGGGTCAAGTGGAAGTTTTTTAAAGCTTTACAGTCTTTAAAATACTATTAAAATACAGTAATTCCTTCTTCACCAGATCCCACCACATGATGATGATTTTGGGCCCAATTTAATTACGGTTTCTGTGTTTCCACTTTCTTTTCTTTTTTTGCCATATTGAAAAAGTTGTATGCGACAAGAAGAATGACTTTTGCAGTGATTTTGTGCCCAAAGTAAACAGGAAAATGCGGACGACTAATGAAAAAAGTTGCATCAAAATTATGAAAAAAAACAAGAAAATAATAGAACTTTTGTTGCACACAATTGGTGGATTCAATGCTAGCGAAGCACTGGTTTTGACTTATTGTTTTGACTATAGCATTTAATCAATAGCTGACATTAGATCTGTCCCGATGGATCTATGTGGAGATGTATGGGTTAGGGTCTAATCTATAGTCTGTCCTAGAGTCTAACCTAGAGTCTGTCCTAGAGTCTGTCCTAGAGTCTAACCTTGAGTCTGTCCTAGAGTCTGTCCTAGAGTCTAACCTAGAGTCTGTCCTGGAGTCTAACCTAGAGTCTGTCCTAGAGTCTGTCCTAGAGTCTAACCGAGAGTCTGTCCTAGAGTCTAACCTAGAGTCTGTCCTAGACTCTGTCCTGGAGTCTGTCCTAGAGTCTGTCCTAGAGTCTGTCCTAGAGTCTGTCCTAGAGTCTAACCTAGAGTCTGTCCTAGAGTCTAACCTAGAGTCTGTCCTAGAGTCTAACCTAGAGTCTTTCCTAGAGTCTAACCTAGAGTCTGTCCTAGAGTCTAATCTAGAGTCTGTCCTAGAGTCTGTCCTAGAGTCTGTCCTAGAGTCTAACCTAGAGTCTAACCTAGAGTCTAACCTAGAGTCTGTCCTGGAGTCTAACCTAGAGTCTGTCCTAGAGTCTGTCCTAGAGTCTAACCGAGAGTCTGTCCTAGAGTCTAACCTAGAGTCTGTCCTAGACTCTGTCCTGGAGTCTGTCCTAGAGTCTGTCCTAGAGTCTGTCCTAGAGTCTAACCTAGAGTCTGTCCTAGAGTCTAACCTAGAGTCTGTCCTAGAGTCTAACCTAGAGTCTTTCCTAGAGTCTAACCTAGAGTCTGTCCTAGAGTCTAATCTAGAGTCTGTCCTAGAGTCTGTCCTAGAGTCTAACCTAGAGTCTATCCTAGAGTCTAACCTAGAGTCTAACCTAGAGTCTGTCCTAGAGTCTGTCCTAGAGTCTAACCTAGAGTCTGTCCTAGAGTCTAACCTAGAGTCTGTCCTAGAGTCTAACCTAGAGTCTGTCCTAGAGTCTGACCTAGAGTCTGTCCTAGAGTCTAACCTAGAGTCTGTCCTAGAGTCTAACCTAGAGTCTGTCCTAGAGTCTGTCCTAGAGTCTGTCCTAGAGTCTGTCCTAGAGTCTAACCTAGAGTCTGTCCTAGAGTCTAACCTAGAGTCTGTCCTAGAGTGTAACCTAGAGTCTGTCCTAGAGTCTAACCTAGAGTCTGTCCTAGAATGTAACCTAGAGTCTGTCCTAGAGTCTAACCTAGAGTCTGTCCTAGAGTCTATCCTAGAGTCTAACCTAGAGTCTGTCCTAGAGTCTAACCTAGAGTCTGTCCTAGAGTCTAACCTAGAGTCTGTCCTAGAGTCTAACCTAGAGTCTGCCCTAGAGTCTGACCTAGAGTCTGTCCTAGAGTCTAACCTAGAGTCTAACCTAGAGTCTGTCCTAGAGTCTAACCTAGAGTCTGTCCTAGAGTCTGTCCTAGAGTCTAACCTAGAGTCTGTCCTAGAGTCTAACCTAGAGTCTGTCCTAGAGTGTAACCTAGAGTCTGTCCTAGAGTCTAACCTAGAGTCTGTCCTAGAGTCTAACCTAGAGTCTGTCCTAGAGTCTGTCCTAGACTCTGTCCTAGAGTCTGCTGTCCTAGAGTCTGTCCTAGAGTCTAACCTAGAGTCTGTCCTAGAGTCTGTCCTAGAGTCTAACCTAGAGTCTGTCCTAGAGTCTAACCTAGAGTCTGTCCTAGAGTCTGTCCTAGAGTCTAACCTAGAGTCTGTCCTAGAGTCTGTCCTAGAGTCTAACCTAGAGTCTCTGTCCTAGAGTCTGTACTAGAGTCTAACCTAGAGTCTGTCCTAGAGTCTAACCTAGAGTCTGTCCTAGAGTCTGTCCTAGAGTCTAACCTAGAGTCTGTCCTAGAGTCTGTCCTAGAGTCTAACCTAGAGTCTGTCCTAGAGTCTAACCTAGAGTCTGTCCTAGAGTCTGTCCTAGAGTCTAACCTAGAGTCTGTCCTAGAGTCTGTCCTAGAGTCTGTCCTAGAGTCTAACCTAGAGTCTGTCCTAGAGTCTAACCTAGAGTCTGTCCTAGAGTCTAACCTAGAGTCTGTCCTAGAGTCTGTCCTAGAGTCTAACCTAGAGTCTGTCCTAGAGTCTGTGCTAGAGTCTGTCCTAGAGTCTAACCTAGAGTCTGTCCTAGAGTCTGTCCTAGAGTCTAACCGAGAGTCTGTCCTAGAGTCTGTCCTAGAGTCTAACCTAGAGTCTGTCCTAGAGTCTGTCCTAGAGTCTAACCTAGAGTCTGTCCTAGAGTCTAACCTAGAGTCTGTCCTAGAGTCTGTCCTAGAGTCTAACCTAGAGTCTGTCCTAGAGTCTGTCCTAGAGTCTAACCTAGAGTCTGTCCTAGAGTCTGTCCTAGAGTCTAACCTAGAGTCTGTCCTAGAGTCTGTCCTAGAGTCTAACCTAGAGTCTGTCCTAGAGTCTGTCCTAGAGTCTGTCCTAGAGTCTAACCTAGAGTCTGTCCTAGAGTCTAACCTAGAGTCTGTCCTAGAGTCTAACCTAGAGTCTGTCCTAGAGTCTGTCCTAGAGTCTAACCTAGAGTCTGTCCTAGAGTCTGTGCTAGAGTCTGTCCTAGAGTCTAACCTAGAGTCTGTCCTAGAGTCTAACCTAGAGTCTGTCCTAGAGTCTGTCCTAGAGTCGGTCCTAGAGTCTGTCCTAGAGTTTAACCTAGAGTCTGTCCTAGAGTCCGTCCTAGAGTCTAACCTAGAGTCTAACCTAGAGTCTTTCCTGGAGTCTAACCTAGAGTTTGAGGGTGGTTAGAGGAGGTTGTGAGTGGTTGGAGAAGGTTTAATGTGGTTGGGGGTGGTTGGAGGAGGTTGGAGGAGGTTGGGGGTGGTTGGAGGAGGTTGGAGGAGGTTGGAGGAGGTTGGAGGAGGTCGGAGGAGGTTGGAGGAGGTTGGAGGAGGTTGGAGGTGGTTGGAGGAGGTTGGAGGAGGTTGGAGGTGGTTGGAGGAGGTTGGAGGTGGTTGGAGGAGGTTGGAGGAGGTCGGAGGAGGTCGGAGGAGGTCGGAGGTGGTCGGAGGAGGTCGGAGGAGGTCGGAGGAGGTGGGAGGAGGTCGGAGGTGGTTGGAGGAGGTCGGAGGTGGTCGGAGGAGGTCGGAGGAGGTCGGAGGAGGTTGGAGGAGGTTGGAGGAGGTTGGAGGTGGTTGGAGGAGGTTGGAGGTGGTTGGAGGAGGTTGGAGGAGGTCGGAGGTGGACGGAGGAGGTCGGAGGAGGTCGGAGGTGGTCGGAGGAGGTCGGAGGAGGTCGGAGGAGGTCGGAGGAGGTCGGAGGTGGTCGGAGGAGGTTGGAGGAGGTTGGAGGAGGTTGGAGGTGGTTGGAGGAGGTTGGAGGAGGTCGGAGGAGGTTGGAGGTGGTTGGAGGTGGTTGGAGGTGGTTGGAGGAGGTCGGAGGAGGTCGGAGGAGGTTGGAGGTGGTTGGAGGTGGTTGCAGGAGGTCGGAGGTGGTTGGAGGAGGTTGGAGGAGGTTGGAGGAGGTCGGAGGTGGTTGGAGGAGGTTGGAGGAGGTCGGAGGAGGTTGGAGGTGGTTGGAGGTGGTTGGAGGTGGTTGGAGGAGGTCGGAGGTGGTCAGAGGAGGTCGGAGGTGGTTGGAGGTGGTTGGAGGAGGTTGGAGGAGGTCGGAGGAGGTCGGAGGAGGTTGGAGGAGGTTGGAGGAGGTTGGAGGAGGTCGGAGGAGGTTGGAGGTGGTTGGAGGTGGTTGGAGGAGGTCGGAGGAGGTCGGAGGAGGTCGGAGGTGGTTGGAGGAGGTTGGAGGAGGTTGGAGGAGGTTGGAGGAGGTTGGAGGAGGTTGGAGGAGGTTGGAGGAGGTCGGAGGAGGTCGGAGGAGGTTGGAGGTGGTTGGAGGAGGTCGGAGGTGGTTGGAGGAGGTCGGAGGAGGTCGGAGGAGGTCGGAGGTGGTTGGAGGAGGTTGGAGGAGGTCTCCCTCCATGTGTCACAGGTGAAGAGTCAGATGCCCTGATGGAAAAGATTATTATTTTAGTAAAGTACAACCAGCACAAATGACAACAGTGTGCTCTGAACCATCTCTGGGACCAGGTGGACCCTAGGCCTAAGGAGACACAGTGAGACCAGGTGGACACTAGCCCTGAGGAGATGCAGTGACACCAGGTGGACACTAGCCCTGAGGAGATGCAGTGACACCAGGTGGACACTAGCCCTGAGGAGACGCAGTGAGAGTATGTGTTGGCTTATATAATGGATATTGAAAAGAACATACCAACCATTTTATTGACATTGAGCTTTAGGCAACACTGATTTAACCAGGGTTTAGGGCTAGGGTTAGTTAAACCTGTCTCTGATGTCCCTTTGGTCTCGGGTATGGGTTAGTTAAACCTGTCTCTGATGTCCCTTTGGTCTCGGGTTAGGGTTAGTTAAACCTGTCTCTGATGTCCCTTTGGTCTCGGGTTAGGGTTAGTTAAACCTGTCTCTGATGTCCCTTTGGTCTCGGGTTAGGGTTAGTTAAACCTGTGTCTCTGATGTCCCTTTGGTCTCGGGTTAGGGTTAGTTAAACCTGTCTCTGATGTCCCTTTGGTCTCGGGTATGGGTTAGTTGAGTGGCTGCATAGACTATGCAGCCACTATATGCTCTCCTACTGTTTATTCTTCTTCTTCTTCTTCCACTTCCGCCAGATTTTGGCACTTTTCAACTCTTCAACGCTTTCACCAAATTCAACAAATTATACATCGTTACGACCGGCTTCACCGTCTCATTATTGCTATTACTTTTCACACTTCCACCTTTAGCACTTTTTCAGATATTAACAAAAGTTCAAGCACTTTTTCCCACTGACTTACATTGGACCAGTACAACAGATTACTCCCCATACAACACATTACCACACTAACAATTCATCACCACAGATACAATACATTACAACATCTTACAACACTTACAGCACCTTACAACACATTTAGCACTTTACAACAAATTCAACACCTTACAACACATTTAGCACCTTACAACAAATTCAACACCTTACAACACATTCAGCACCTTACAACAAATTCAACACCTTACAACAAATTCAACACCTTACAACAAATTCAACACCTTACAACACATTTAGCACTTTACAACACATTTAGCACTTTACAACACATTCAACATCTTACAACACATTTAGCACTTTAACACAAATTCAACACCTTACAACACATTTAGCACTTTAACACAAATTCAACACCTTACAACACATTTAGCACCTTACAACACATTCAACATCTTACAACACATTTAGCACTTTAACACAAATTCAACACCTTACAACACATTTAGCACTTTTACACAATTCAACACCTTACAATACATTTAGCACTTTTCAACAAATTCAACACCTTACAACACATTTAGCACTTTACAACACATTCAACACCTTACAACACATTTAGCACCTTACAACAAATTCAACACCTTACAACACATTCAGCACCTTACAACAAATTCAACACCTTACAACAAATTCAACACCTTACAACAAATTCAACACCTTACAACACATTTAGCACTTTACAACAAATTCAACACATTTAGCACTTTACAACACATTCAACATCTTACAACACATTTAGCACTTTAACACAAATTCAACACCTTACAACACATTTAGCACCTTACAACACATTCAACATCTTACAACACATTTAGCACTTTAACACAAATTCAACACCTTACAACACATTTAGCACTTTAACACCATTCAACACCTTACAATACATTTAGCACTTTACAACAAATTCAACACCTTACAACACATTTAGCCCTTTACAACACATTCAACACCTTACAACACATTTAGCACTTTACAACAAATTCAACACCTTACAACACATTTAGCACTTTACAACAAATTCAACACCTTACAACACATTCAGCACTTTACAACACATTCAGCACCTTACAACACATTCAGCACTTTACAACACATTCTTCCTACTTCATCTTCCCGTTCCTCCTCTTCTTCCCCTTCTTCCCCTTCTTCCTCTTCTTCCTCTCCTTCCTCTTCTCCCCCTTCTTCCTCTTCTTCCCCCTTCTTCTTCTTCCCCTTCTTCTTCTTCCTCCTCCTCCTCTTCCTTCTTCTTCTTTCCTCTTCTTCCCTTTTCTTTCTTCTTCCTTCTTCTTCCCCTTCCTCTTCCTTCTTCATCCCTAACCCTTCCAACATCTATGCAGCCACTCACAATGGCTTCAGCCATTGTACCATTTCTAGTTCTTCTTCTTCTTCCACTTCCGCCAGATTTTGTCACTTTTCAACTCTTCAACGCTTTCACCAAATTCAACAAATTATACATCGTTACGACCGGCTTCACCGTCTCATTATTGCTATTACTTTTCACACTTCCACCTTTAGCACTTTTTCAGATATTAACAAAAGTTCAAGCACTTTTTCCCATAGACTTACATTGGACCAGTACAACAGATTACTCCCCATACAACACATTACCACACTAACAATTCATCACCACAGATACAATACATTACAACATCTTACAACACTTACAGCACCTTACAACACATTTAGCACTTTAAAACTAATTCAACACCTTACAACACATTTAGCACTTTACAACAAATTCAACACCTTACAACACATTTAGCACTTTACAACACATTCAACACCTTACAACACATTTAGCACTTTACAACAAATTCAACACCTTACAACACATTTAGCACTTTACAACAAATTCAACACCTTACAACACATTCAGCACCTTACAACACATTCTTCTTACTTCCTCTTCTTCCCCTTCTTCCTCTTCTTCCCCTTCTTTCTCTTCTTTCTCTTCTTCCTCTTCTTCCTCTTCTTCCCCTTCTTCCTCTTCTTCCTCTTCTTCCTCTTCTTCCTCTTCTTCCCCTTCTTTCTCTTCTTTCTCTTCTTTCTCTTCTTCTCTTCTCTTCTTCCTCTTCTTCCTCTTCTTCCTCTTCTTCCCCTTCTTCCCCTTCTTCTTCTTCCTCTTCTTCCCATTCTTCCTCTTCTTCCTCTTCTTCTTCCCCTTCTTCCCTTTCTTCTTCTTCCTCCTCCTCTTCCTTCTTCTTCTTTCCTCTTCTTCCCTTTTCTTTCTTCTTCCTTCTTCTTCCCCTTCCTCTTCCTTCTTCATCCCTAACCCTTCCAACATCTATGCAGCCACTCACAATGGCTTCAGCCATTGTACCATTTCTAGTTAAACCTGTCTCTGATGTCCCTTTGGTCTCGGGTATGGGTTAGTTAAACCTGTGTCTCTGATGTCCCTTTGGTCTCGGGTTAGGGTTAGTTAAACCTGTGTCTCTGATGTCCCTTTGGTCTCGGGTTAGGGTTAGTTAAACCTGTGTCTCTGATGTCCCTTTGGTCTCGGGTTAGGGTTAGTTAAACCTGTGTCTCTGATGTCCCTTTGGTCTCGGGTTAGGGTTAGTTAAACCTGTGTCTGATGTCCCTTTGGTCTCGGGTTAGGGTTAGTTAAACCTGTGTCTGATGTCCCTTTGGTCTCGGGTTAGGGTTAGTTAAACCTGTGTCTGATGTCCCTTTGGTCTCGGGTTAGGGTTAGTTAAACCTGTGTCTGATGTCCCTTTGGTCTCGGGTTAGGGTTAGTTAGGCCTGAGGAGACGCAGTGAGACCAGGTGGACCCTAGCCCTGAGGAGACACAGTGACACCAGGTGGACACTAGGCCTGAGGAGACGGGTTAGGTTTAGTTAAACCTGTGTCTCTGATATCCCTTTGGTCTCGGGTTAGGGTTAGTTAAACCTGTGTCTCTGATGTCACTTTGGTCCCGGGTTATGGTTAGTTAAACCTGTGTCTGATGTCCCTTTGGTCCCGGGTTAGTTAAGCCTGTGTCTGATGTCCCTTTGGTCTCAGGTTAGGGTTAGTTAAACCTGTGTCTCTGATGTCCCTTTGGTCCCGGGTTATGGTTAGTTAAACCTGTGTCTGATGTCCCTTTGGTCCCGGGTTAGTTAAGCCTGTGTCTGATATCCCTTTGGTCTCGGGTTAGGGTTAGTTAAACCTGTGTCTGATATCCCTTTGGTCTCGGGTTAGGGTTAGTTAAACCTGTGTCTCTGATGTCCCTTTGGTCTCGGGTTAGGGTTAGTTAAACCTGTGTCTCTGATGTCCCTTTGGTCTCGGGTTAGGGTTAGTTAAACCTGTGTCTGATATCTCTTTGGTCTCGGGTTAGGGTTAGTTAAACCTGTGTCTGATGTCCCTTTGGTCTCGGGTTAGGGTTAGTTAAACCTGTGTCTCTGATGTCCCTTTGGTCTCGGGTTAGGGTTAGTTAAACCTGTGTCTGATGTCCCTTTGGTCCCGGGTTAGTTAAGCCTGTGTCTCTGATGTCCCTTTGGTCTCGGGTTAGGGTTAGTTAAACCTGTGTCTGATATCTCTTTGGTCTCGGGTTAGGGTTAGTTAAACCTGTGTCTGATGTCCCTTTGGTCTCGGGTTAAAGTTAGTTAAACCTGTGTCTCTGATATCCCTTTGGTCTCGGGTTAGGGTTAGTTAAACCTGTGTCTGATATCTCTTTGGTCTCGGGTTAGGGTTAGTTAAACCTGTGTCTGATGTCCCTTTGGTCTCGGGTTAAAGTTAGTTAAACCTGTGTCTCTGATGTCCCTTTGGTTCTCGGGTTAGGGTTAGTTAAACCTGTGTCTCTGATATCCCTTTGGTCTCGGGTTAGGGTTAGTTAAACCTGTGTCTGATATCTCTTTGGTCTCGGGTTAGGGTTAGTTAAACCTGTGTCTGATGTCCCTTTGGTCTCGGGTTAGGGTTAGTTAAACCTGTGTCTCTGATGTCCCTTTGGTCTCGGGTTAGGGTTAGTTAAACCTGTGTCTGATGTCCCTTTGGTCCCGGGTTAGTTAAGCCTGTGTCTCTGATGTCCCTTTGGTCTCGGGTTAGGGTTAGTTAAACCTGTGTCTGATATCTCTTTGGTCTCGGGTTAGGGTTAGTTAAACCTGTGTCTGATATCTCTTTGGTCTCGGGTTAGGGTTAGTTAAACCTGTGTCTCTGATATCCCTTTGGTCTCGGGTTAGGGTTAGTTAAACCTGTGTCTGATATCTCTTTGGTCTCGGGTTAGGGTTAGTTAAACCTGTGTCTGATGTCCCTTTGGTCTCGGGTTAAAGTTAGTTAAACCTGTGTCTGATGTCCCTTTGGTCTCGGGTTAAAGTTAGTTAAACCTGTGTCTCTGATGTCCCTTTGGTCTCGGGTTAGGGTTAGTTAAACCTGTCTCTGATGTCCCTTTGGTCTCGGGTTAGGGTTAGTTAAACCTGTGTCTGATATCTCTTTGGTCTCGGGTTAGGGTTAGTTAAACCTGTGTCTGATGTCCCTTTGGTCTCGGGTTAGGGTTAGTTAAACCTGTGTCTCTGATGTCCCTTTGGTTCTCGGGTTAGGGTTAGTTAAACCTGTGTCTCTGATGTCCCTTTGGTCTCGGGTTAGGGTTAGTTAAACCTGTGTCTGATGTCCCTTTGGTCTCGGGTTAGGGTTAGTTAAACCTGTGTCTCTGATGTCCCTTTGGTCTCGGGTTAGGGTTAGTTAAACCTGTGTCTGATGTCCCTTTGGTCTCGGGTTTATTTGACAGGGACAGTGTACATTAATGAACATTACATTACTAACAGGGTTAGTTAGGCCTGAGGAGACGCAGTGAGACCAGGTGGACCCTAGCCCTGAGGAGACACAGTGACACCAGGTGGACACTAGGCCTGAGGAGACGGGTTAGGTTTAGTTAAACCTGTGTCTCTGATATCCCTTTGGTCTCGGGTTAGGGTTAGTTAAACCTGTGTCTGATGTCACTTTGGTCTCGGGTTAGGGTTAGTTAAACCTGTGTCTCTGATGTCCCTTTGGTCCCGGGTTATGGTTAGTTAAACCTGTGTCTGATGTCCCTTTGGTCCCGGGTTAGTTAAGCCTGTGTCTGATATCCCTTTGGTCTCGGGTTAGGGTTAGTTAAACCTGTGTCTCTGATGTCTCTTTGGTCTCGGGTTAGGGTTAGTTAAACCTGTGTCTATGATGTCTCTTTGGTCTCGGGTTAGGGTTAGTTAAACCTGTGTCTCTGATGTCCCTTTGGTTCTCGGGTTAGGGTTAGTTAAACCTGTGTCTCTGATATCCCTTTGGTCTCGGGTTAGGGTTAGTTAAACCTGTGTCTGATGTCCCTTTGGTCTCGGGTTTATTTGACAGGGACAGTGTACATTAATGAACATTACTATAAATGTACCAGAATAAGGATATTATTCACGTTGTCCCTGGACGGATTTAAAATGTCAACCTAAAAGCAAACACGAACACTTATATACAAAACATCAATGATAAAATAACAGTGTACATTTACCATAAGTACAATCAGTTAGAAGTTAGTGTTGACATGTCTGTGATGAACCATGATTTGAGATGAGTTTTGAACAGATTGTATGAGGCTCTCTGATCTTTGATGGGACTGTTCCACTCCTGAGACGCCCTCACAGAGAAGGCTCTAGCTGAAGGCGCTCTTCCGGAGTGGGATAACACAGTCCCCACGGACGGCCCCCCTGGTTACCCCCTGGTTACCCTGTGTGTGGTGTTCCTGACCGAGTGGAGGTGAAGATGAACCATGAATGATCTTGTAAATGAGACAGAGATTAGAGTATTTGATGAAATTTGTCCAATTTAGAAGGTGGTGTTTTCACGGAATGAAACAGTGGTGAAATCTTTGTGGTTTTTTGTCCAGTATGTGTTGGCTTATATAATGGATTTTGAAAAGAACATACCAACCATTTTATTGACATTGAGCTTTAGGCAACACTGATTTAACCAGGGTTTAGGGATAGGGTTAGTTAAACCTGTCTCTGATGTCCCTTTGGTCTCGGGTATGGGTTAGTTAAACCTGTGTCTGATGTCCCTTTGGTCTCGGGTTAGGGTTAGTTAAACCTGTGTCTGATGTCCCTTTGGTCTCGGGTTAGGGTTAGTTTAACCTGTGTCTGATGTCCCTTTGGTCTCGGGTTAGGGTTAGTTAAACCTGTGTCTGATGTCCCTTTGGTCTCGGGTTAGGGTTAGTTAAACCTGTGTCTCTGATGTCCCTTTGGTCTCGGGTTAGGGTTAGTTAAACCTGTGTCTGATGTCCCTTTGGTCTCGGGTTAGGGTTAATTAAGTAGTAAGTAGTAGTAAGTAATCTTAATTTATATACCGCCTTTTCACTGCACATCGGAGTCTCAAAGCGGTTTACAATTGTGATTTTTTGGAGTGGGGCCAGTACAGGAGGCACATGCCAGACCTATTGTACATATTTTTAGTGGCACCCGGAGGAAACCTACGCAGACACGGGGAGAACATGCAAACTCCACTCAGAAAGGCCCTGGTCCAACCGGGATTTGAACCCAGGACCTTCTTGCTGAGAGGCAAGAACCTGTCTCTTACTTTCTCTTGAAAGTAAAAGGTTACACTTAAATATTCTTTGAGCTTTTATGGCCGTCATTACCCTCAAGAAACCCACAGGACGCGTAAATCTGACCAGGATTAATTCAAGTGTAGTAGTAGTAGTAGAGTAGTAGCAGTAGTAGTAGTAGTAGCAGCAGCAGCAGTAGCAGTAGCAGCAGCAGCAGCAGCAGCAGCAGCAGTAGCAGTAGCGGCAGTAGCAGCATCAGCAGTTGCAGTAGTAGGAGCAGCAGTAGCAGCAGCAGCAGTAGTAGCAGCAGTAGCAGCAGCAGCAGTGGTAGCAGTAGTAGCAGCAGTAGCAGCAGTAGCAGTAGTAGCAGCAGCAGCAGCAGTAGCAGTAGTAGCAGCAGTAGCAGCAGCAGCAGTAGCAGTAGCAGTAGCAGCAGTAGTAGCAGCAGTAGCAGCAGCAGCAGTAGCAGTAGCAGAAGCAGCAGCAGCAGTAGCAGTAGCAGCAGCAGTAGCAGTAGTAGCAGCAGCAGCAGTAGCAGCAGCAGCAGTAGCAGTAGCGGCAGTAGCAGCATCAGCAGTTGCAGTAGTAGGAGCAGCAGTAGCAGCAGCAGCAGTAGTAGCAGCAGTAGCAGCAGCAGCAGTAGCAGCAGCAGCAGTAGCAGCAGTAGCAGTAGTAGCAGCAGCAGTAGCAGTAGCAGTAGTAGCAGTAGCAGCAGCAGCAGCAGCAGTAGCAGTAGCAGCAGTAGTAGCAGCAGTAGCAGCAGCAGCAGCAGCAGTAGCAGAAGCAGCAGCAGCAGTAGCAGTAGCAGCAGCAGTAGCAGTAGCAGCAGCAGCAGCAGTAGTAGCAGCAGCAGCAGTAGCAGCAGCAGTAGTAGCAGCAGTAGCAGCTACTACTGCTACTGCTACTGCTGCTACTACTACTACTGCAACAGTAGCAGTAGTAGCAGCAGTAGCAGTAGTAGCAGCAGTAGCAGTAGCAGCAGTAGCAGCAGTAGCAGTAGCAGCAGCAGCAGTAGCAGTAGCAGCTACTACTGCTACTGCTACTGCTGCTACTACTACTACTGCAACAGTAGCAGTAGTAGCAGCAGTAGCAGCAGTAGCAGTAGTAGCAGCAGTAGCAGTAGCAGCAGCAGCAGAAGTAGGAGCAGCAGTAGCAGTAGCAGCAGCAGCAGTCGCAGTAGTAGCAGCAGTAGCAGCAGTAGCAGCAGCAGCAGTAGCAGTAGCAGCAGCATCAGCAGTCGCAGTAGTAGCAGCAGTAGCAGCAGTCGCAGCAGCAGCAGTAGCAGTAGTAGTAGTAGCAGCAGTAGCAGTAGTAGCAGTAGCAGCAGTAACAGCAGCAGTAGCAGTAGCAGCAGTAGCAGCAGTAACAGCAGCAGTAGCAGCAGCAGCAGCAGTCGCAGTAGTAGCAGCAGTAGCAGCAGCAGCAGTAGCAGTAGCGGCAGTAGCAGCATCAGCAGTCGCAGTAGTAGTAGCAGCAGTAGCAGCAGTAGCAGTAGTAGCAGCAGTAGCAGTAGCAGCAGTAGTAGCAGTAGCAGTAGCAGCAGCAGCAGTCGCAGTAGTAGCAGCAGTAGCAGCAGTAGCAGCAGCAGCAGTAGCAGTAGCAGCAGCATCAGCAGTCGCAGTAGTAGTAGTAGCAGCAGTAGGTTGGATGCTCCTCCCTTCACCTCCTCCTCTTGCCTCAGTCAGGTGTCTCAGTGCAGCTCCTTGGAGGAGGTGCAGTTGGACGTCCTGCCTCCTGCTCCGCGTCTCGTGGACATGAGGAGAGACCCAGAGCTCGGCTTCGGCTTCGTGGCCGGAAGTGAGAAGCCGGTGGTCGTCCGTTCCGTCACTCCAGGTCAGATCCTCACCCTCACCCTCACCCTCACCCTCACCCTCACCGTCACCCTCTACACCCTCACCCTCACCGTCACCCTCTAACCCTCACCCTCACCCTCACCGTCACCCTCCAACCCTCACCCCTCACCCTAACCCTCACCGTCACCCTCTAACCCTCACCGTCACCCTCTAACCCTCACCCTCACCCTCACACTCACCGTCACCCTCTAACCCTCACCGTCACCCTCTAACCCTCACCCTCACCCTCACACTCACCGTCACCCTCTAACCCTCACCGTCACCCTCACTCTCACTCTCACACTCACCCTCACCCTCACACTCACCCTCACCCTCACCCTCACACTCACCGTCACCCTCTAACCCTCACCGTCACCCTCACCCTCACCCTCACCCTCACCCCTCACACTCACCGTCACCCTCTAACCCTCACCCTCATCCTCACCCTCACCCTCACTCTCACTCTCACACTCACACTCACACTCACCCTCACCCTCACACTCACCGGCACCCTCTAACCCTCACCGTCACCCTCATCCTCACACTCACCCTCACCCCAACACACACACTCACCCCAACCCTCACCCTCACCCTAACCCTCACCCTCACACTCACCCTAACCCTCACCCTAACCTTCACCCTCACCCTCACCCTCACAGTCACACTCACCCTCACACTCACCCTAACCCTCACACTCACCCTAACCCTCACACTAACCTTCACCCTCACCCTAACCCTCACCCTCACAGTCACACTCACCCTAACCCTCACACTCACCCTAACCCTCACACTCACCCTAACCCTCACCTCACCCTAACCCTCACACTCACCCCAACCCTCACACTCACCCCAACCCTCACACTAACCCTAACCCTCACCTTCACCCCAACCCTCACACTAACCCTAACCCTCACACTCACCCCAACCCTCACACTCACCTTAACCCTCACCCTCACCCTAACCCTCACACTCACCCTAACCCTCACCTCACCCTAACCCTCACACTCACCCTAACCCTCACACTCACCCTAACCCTCACACTCACCCTAACCCTCACCTCACCCTAACCCTCACACTCACCCCAACCCTCACACTCACCCTAACCCTCACACTCACCCCAACCCTCACACTAACCCTAACCCTCACACTCACCCTAACCCTCACACTCACCCTAACCCTCACCTCACCCTAACCCTCACACTCACCCCAACCCTCACACTCACCCTAACCCTCACACTCACCTTAACCCTCACCCTAACCCTAACCCTCACACTCACCTTAACCCTCACCCTCACCCTAACCCTCACACTCACACTCACCCTAACCCTCACACTCACCCCAACCCTCACACTCACCCTAACCCTCACCCTCACCCTAACCCTCACACTCACCCTCACCTCACACTCACCCTAACCCTCACCCTAACCCTCACACTCACACTCACCCTAACCCTCACACTCACACTAAGGCTATATCCACACGAAGACAAAACGCTTATAATTTCAGAAACTTTTTCTGTAAACACGGAGTTAGCTCAGTAAATGTGTGCGTCCATATGAATGTAGTCAATACGCCTGAAAACGCTGTGAAACTATGCCAGACCTGTTGGTGGCGCTGTGACGCAATGACTGGATCAAGCCCAAACTTCCGTGACGGGAACTGGGCATGCGCAGAATTGTGTAAACAGACAACATGGCGAGTGGGCGAGCTGGTACTACATTAGTATGGACGGACGATGAGGTTGAACTGTTGCTTCGGGTCACACTGGATTACAAAACCAACAAGCTACATTGTTGTTGTCATTATTTTATGAGTGCGGCGCATACGTGCTTTAACAAGAGGCGGGGCGATGACGCGTCTCAGATACATTGCGGAGAGGCAGTAACCACGGAGCGGCATATACGGAGTTTTGAAATCTTTCCACTCTGGGACCTAGTTTCAAAAATGTTCGTTTACACCCCCCCAAAACGCCGGCCTCGTATGGACGATACACTGGATTGATAAAGTATTTTTGCGTTTAGGCCTGAGCTTGACTTCGTGTGGACAGGGCCTAACCCTCACACTCACACTCACACTCACCCTAACCCTCACCCTAACCCTCACCCTCACACTCACACTCAAAGTGTGGAGCTTGTTCCGACACAATCATAAAGTTAGAATAAAAGAGTAAATAAAGATGTTGTTGCAGGAGGTCCATCTGAAGGAAAGCTTTGTGTGTGTGTGTTTCTGTCTGTGTGTGTGTGTGTCTGTCTGTGTGTCTGTGTGTGTATGTGTGTGTCTTTGTGTGTCTGTATGTGTGTGTAAAGAGTAAATAAAGATGTTGTTGCAGGAGGTCCGTCTGAAGGAAAGCTGCTTCCTGGAGACGAAATTATTATGATCAATGACGAGTCTGTGAGTTCAGCTCCGAGAGAGAGAGTCATCGACCTGGTCAGGTAAGTTAGAGTTAGGGTTAGAGTTAGAGTTAGGGTTAGCCCTAACTCTAACTAACCCCAACTCCAACCCAAACACAAACAACACTTCTCTGTTTTAGGAGCTGCAAAGAATCCATACTGTTGACTGTCGTCCAACCGTATCCTGTAAGGTTTACAGACTCTGCGTGGTGGTGGTGTCTTGTCACTCTATCCATCGGTCCTCTCTGTCCGATCTGACTCTCCATTTGTCTCGCCATCCATCTGTCTCTGTCCATCTGTCTGTCTCTCCATCTACTCCTGTCCATCTGTCACTCTGTCCATCTGTCTGTCTCTCCATCTGTCACTCTATCCATCTGTCTCTCTGTCCATCTGACTCTCCATTTGTCTCTCTCTCCATCTGTCTCTGTCCATCTGTCTCTCTCCATCTGTCACTCTGTCCATCTGTCACTCTGTCCATCTGTCACTCTGTCCATCTGTCTCTCTGTCCATTTGACTCTCCATCTCTCTCTCTATCCATCTGTCTCTCTCTCCATCTGTCTCTCTCCATCTGACTCTCCATCTGTCACTCTGTCCATCTGTCTCTCTCCATCTGTCACTCTGTCCATCTGTCGCTCTGTCCATCTGTCTCTCTGTCCATCTGTCTCTCTCTCCATCTGTCTCTCTGTCCATCTGTCTCTCTCTCCATCTGACTCTCCATCTGTCTCTCTGTCCATCTGTCTCTCTCTCCATCTGACTCTCCATCTGTCTCTCTCTCCATCGGTCTCTCTGTCCAGCTGTCTGTCTCTCCATCTGTCTCTCTATCCATCTGTCTCTCTCCATCTGACTCTACATCTGTCACTCTGTCCATCTGTCTCTCTCCATCTGTCTCTCCATCTGTCACTCTGTCCATCTGTCTCTCTCCATCTGTCTCTCCATCTGACTCTCCATCTGTCACTCTGTCCATCTGTCTCTCTGTCCATCTGTCTCTCTGTCCATCTGTCTCTCTCTCCATCTGACTCTCTGTCCATCTGTCTGTCTCTCCATCTGTCTCTGTTTATCTGTCTGTCTCTCCATCTGACTCTCTTATCCTCTTTTCTCAGTCCCCTAAGTCGGCGTTCATCAGTGCTGCCAAAAAAGCCATGTTGAAGTCCAATCCCGTCAAAGTGCGCTTCGCGGAGGAAGTGATCATCAATGGGCAGGTTCCAGTGAGTATTCTTTATGGTTCATGTTTATGGTTCATTTTTATGGTTTGTTTATGGTTCATGTTTATGGTTCATGTCTATGGTTTATGTTTATGGTTCATGTTTATGGTCCATGTTTATGGTTCATGTTTATGGTTCATGTCTATGGTTCATGTTTATGGTTCATGTCTATGGTCCATGTTTATGGTTCATGTTTATGGTTCATGTTTATGGTTCATGTCTATGGTTCATGTTTATGGTTCATGACTATGGTTCATGTTTATGTTTCATGTTTATGGTTCATGTTTATGGTTCATGTTTATGGTTCATGTTTATGGTTTATGGTTTATGGTCAATGTTTATGGTTCATGTTTATGGTTTATGGTTCATGTTTATGGTTCATGTTTATGGTTTATGGTTCATGTTTATGGTTTATGGTTCATGTTTATGGTTCATGTTTATGGTAAATGTTTATGGTTTATGTTTATGGTTCATGTTTATGGTTTATGTTTGTTGTTCATGGTTATGGTTCATGTTTATGGTTCATGTTTATGTTTGTTGTTCATGGTAATGGTTCATGTTTATGGTTTATGTTTATGGTTCATGTTTATGGTTTATGTTTGTTGTTCATGATTATGGTTCATGTTTATGGTTTATGTTTGTGGTTCATTGTTATGGTTAATGTTTATGGTTCATGTTTATGGTTCATGGTTCCGAGCTGGTCCTACAGTGATTGTCCGCTGGATACTGGTTTGTTGTCTGGAGGTTTCTAGGATCTTTTTCCAGATGTAATGGAAACTAACACACACTTACACACACTTACATACACTAACACACACTAACACACACCTACAAACACTAACACACACTAACACACTAACACACACTGACACATATTCTGTCTTTCTCAGAACCCATTCAAGGACAACTCCCTCCTCTTCATGCCAAATGTGCTGAAGGTCTACCTGGAGAACGGACAAACTAAATCGTTTCGCTTCGACAACAGCACGTCCATTAAGGTGTGTGTCTGGTCCTCATTAAGGTGTGTGCCTGGTCCTCATTAAGGTGTGTGCCTGGTCCTCATTAAGGTGTGTGCCTGGTCCTCATTAAGGTGTGTGCCTGGTCCTCATTAAGGTGTGTGCCTGGTCCTCATTAAGGTGTGTGCCTGGTCCTCATTAAGGTGTGTGCCTGGTCCTCATTAAGGTGTGTGCCTGGTCCTCATTAAGGTGTGTGCCTGGTCCTCATTAAGGTGTGTACCTGGTCCTCATTAAGGTGTGTGCCTGGTCCTCATTAAGGTGTGTGTCTGGTCCTCATTAAGGTGTGTGTCTGGTCCTCATCAAGGTGTGTGCCTGGTCCTCATTAAAGATCTTATGCCGGGTTTTTTTTTTTTTTAATTGTGGATATCAAACTTGCATGACAATGTCGAGCTGAAATAGATTCCGGCAAAAAAAATCCTATATTTTATGAAAAGAACGTGTTTTTCATGAATTTAAGTTGTCTATGCTCTAACCTGTGTGTGACGTCATAGCGGGTAACGCCCATGCATTGAAAACCATGGATCTATGCCACAGGACTGCCTTTTCTCTCTTCTCTCCACTGATGCCCAACACAATACTGCCCTCTACAGGTGACAATTGCTCACTACACATAAATTGCCGTTTTGAGAGTGAAAACGTGTCTAAGGTGGGATTTGAACCCCAGTATCTGGATTGGTAGTCCATTGACACAATCACTGGACTATCTCAGTGCCAACGAAAGATCACAGTCTAGTAGTAATCTCATACTCGCTGTACATGGCCTTGTCATCTTCAATACCCGCGAAAAAAGAACGAATACCAAATTGTAAATAACTTACAGCGTTGAAACGTACCCACTCTGACGTCACCAAGGGCTGTGAAGTTTTTTCGTTTCTAAGGGCGTTGCTATGGGTTTATTTCGATTTGGGGGGATCAGACAAAAAAACAACAACTGATTTTGAAACCTTTAGTAGTTCTCTTCTAATATAAAATGGTTTTAAAACTGTATTTCTAAATAAATCAAACCCGGCATAAGGTCTTTAAGGTGTGTGTCTGGTCCTCATTAAGGTGTGTGCCTGGTCCTCATTAAGGTGTGTGTCTGGTCCTCATTAAGGTGTGTGCCTGGTCCTCATTAAGGTGTGTGTCTGGTCCTCATTAAGGTTTGTGCCTGGTCCTCATTAAGGTGTATGTTTGGTCCTGGACCCCGAGTCCTGAGCGGCTGAGACAAGAAGCTTCGGAGCATAGATAACACAAGTTGACAGCCAAAAAATGGTCAGGGGTTTCTCAACTGATTTAGACTAATGTTGGTGTTCTGAGTCCGAATATCACATGCATTTTGCTCTATCAGGTCAACGTTTTGAGATACAGCCATAGTGTTACGGATTACGTACGTCTACGTTATTATGAATTCTGCTTATCAAATTTGATGGAGTAAATAAAAACTGAATGACTTTGGATATGTTGACTTTTATTTCTTGAGGAAAACGGAAAAAAACGTCAAGGGTTTCTCAGCTGATGATCCGCAGAAATTTGTTTTTTACGCAAAATCGATTTAAAAAAATATTTCTGTAGCAAAAAATCCTGACCTGATTGAGCAAAACCAAGGTCATTTTCAGACTCAGAGCATCAAAATGACCTGGAAAACCCTGGAGTATTTTCAAAAAATATTTTTTTGTTACCCAGTGTAATTATAGGGTTATATATTATTATATTATTTTGTAATTCCCTAACCATAACTTCTCTAGACTTCTGATTGGAGTTTAGTGACTGTCCATTCATCTGCTTCCAATTGGCTTTCACATGCCCCTTGTTTACAAAGTTTTGGTCAATGTAGTTTTGATTAGCATAAGTATATCTTGTAGATTAACTGTAGATCATTTCATTTCGTTACAATTCTATTCTGCAGTGATTGGTGTAATTTCAAAGTATGATGCACTTCCTGATGCCATCAATTTGGTTCTAAGTTCTACAAAACCTTTTCTTCTCATTTAGAATTTCACACCATCAGGGTGTATGAAAACTTTAGAGCAGTGCTAACCCGCTAGTCCACATTGAAATGTAAACTCCTCCTGTTTAGTCTGATCCTCCATCCATCCATCCATTTTCTTCCGCTTCATCCGTTGCCGGGTCGCGGGGGCAGCAGTCTAAGCAGAGACGCCCAGAGTTCCCTATCCACACACACTTCCTCCAGCTCGTCCGGGGGGACTCCAAGGCGTTCCCAGGCCAGCTGAGAGACATAGTCCCTCCAGCGTGTCCTGAGTCTTCCCCGGGGCCTCCTCCCGGTGGGACGTGCCCGGAACACCTCCCCAGGGGGGCGTCCAGGAGGCATCCGGAACAGATGCCCGAGCCACCTCAACTGGTTCCTCTCGACGTGGAGTAGCAGCGTCTCTCAGGTGACGAGTCACCTCAGGTGACTCGTCACCTGAGACCTGTCTGCCATGGGAGGCCCTACCAGGGGCATGAAGCCCCAGACAGCATAGCTCCCAAGATCACCCGAGTACTCAAACTCCCCCACCACGTTAAGGTGGCAGTCCAGGGGGGAGCAGTCCAACTCAATACTCAACAGTATTGAGTTGATATTATTGTTAACTTTTCAGTACTTTAATTTCCTTTGTTGAGAACAAAAACATTTCCATTGAGCTTCATAAAAGACTAACTGATAAACAGAAAAAAATTGTTCAAGCAACAGGAAAAAAACTGTAAAAAACATCTTCTGCAGGTGAGGGACATGTTCAAGTTCATATTGTTTATAATGTACACATATACAATACATAGTCTGATCCTGTTTTTTTCATATTGTCTGAGTAATTCCAGATATGACCTCTAAAAGCTGACAAATCTGAAGCCTTCTTTTCTGAATTTGGCTTCAGCTCGCAAACAGCAACAGCCCATCCCTCTGATTGGCTCTTTGGTTGCTGGGTAGTTGCGATCTGAGAATTTTCTTTAAAATACAAACATATATGTGTGTAACTTTGCTGACTGGTCTGTTTCTTCATGTCTCTGCAGGACGTGATTCTGACCCTGCAGGAGAAGCTGTCAATCAAATGCATGGAGCACTTCTCTTTGATGCTGGAGCAGAGGTCAGAGGTCGGGACCAGGCTGCTGCTGCTGCACGAACAGGAAATGCTCACTCAGGTATTTCACACTGACCTTTGCACTCATTAAAACAGTTAAAAAGATTTGGGTTGAGGTTAAACTATGGAAAAGAGGTGACATTCAATGAGTTTCTGTTATTTTTGGAATATTGTGATTGATGAATGTGAAGGTATTACAGTTTTTTCCTGTTGCTTGAACACTATAGACACACGCTTAGACCAAAGTTGCAGAACCTGAAACTTTTGTCCTAAACCTAAAACACAGTCTACCCATTCCTTAAAGTAGTGCTTTGCACGTTACTTTCATTTCTACAACACACTTTCTCTTTCTGCAACACACTTTCTCCTGCTCACTACACACTGTGTCAAACATAAGACACTTTGTTCATAAATGCAATCCTATGTTATCGTTGGGAAAACACATCTGTTCAAAATACCAAACACATTGTCAGAACTTTTAAAGTACGAAGGCAGGAAGAGCAAGAGAGAGAAAGAAGAAGACAAAGAGAGAGGAGGAGGAAGTCGTTTAAGATATTTCTGACATTAGAGCAACTTTTGTGGATCATGTGATAAACCACAGCCTCACACTGAAGGAAGCAGAGAGCCCAGACACAGAACCATCATCAGCACCTCTACTGCAGACTGTCTCTACAGTATTTACAGTACTGTATCACATGTACTGTAACTCTACTGCAGACTGTCTCTACAGTATTTACAGTACTGTATCACATGTACTGTAACTCTACTGCAGACTGTCTCTACAGTATTTACAGTACTGTATCACATGTACTGTAACTCTACTGCAGACTGTCTCTACAGTATTTACAGTACTGTACTGTATCACATGTACTGTAACTCTGTACTGCAGACTGTCTCTACAGTATTTACAGTACTGTACTGTATCACATGTACTGTAACTCTCTACTGAAGACTGTATCTACAGTATTTACAGTACTGTATCACATGTACTGTAACTCTCTACTGAAGACTGTATCTACAGTATTTACAGTACTGTATCACATGTACTGTAACTCTACTGCAGACTGTCTCTACAGTATTTACAGTACTGTACTGTATCACATGTACTGTAACTCTCTACTGAAGACTGTATCTACAGTATTTACAGTACTGTATCACATGTACTGTAACTCTACTGCAGACTGTATCTACAGTATTTACAGTACTGTATCACATGTACTTTAACTCTGTACTGCAGACTGTATCTACAGTATTTACAGTACTGTACTGTATCACATGTACTGTAACTCTCTACTGAAGACTGTATCTACAGTATTTACAGTACTGTATCACATGTACTGTAACTCTACTGCAGACTGTCTCTACAGTATTTACAGTACTGTACTGTATCACATGTACTGTAACTCTCTACTGAAGACTGTATCTACAGTATTTACAGTACTGTATCACATGTACTGTAACTCTACTGCAGACTGTATCTACAGTATTTACAGTACTGTACTGTATCACATGTACTGTAACTCTGTACTGCAGACTGTATCTACAGTATTTACAGTACTGTATCACATGTACTGTAACTCTACTGCAGACTGTATCTACAGTATTTACAGTACTGTACTGTATCACATGTACTGTAACTCTATACTGCAGATTGTATCTACAGTATATACAGTACTGTGTCACATGTACTGTAACTCTGTACTGCAGACTGTATCTACAGTATTTTCAGTACTGTATCACATGTACTTTAACTCTGTACTGTAGACTGTATCTACAGTATATACTGTACTGTATCACATGTACTGTAACTCTGTACTGCAGACTGTATCTACAGTATTTACAGTACTGTATCACATATACTGTAACTCTGTACTGCAGACTGTATCTACAGTATTTACAGTACTGTATCACATGTACTGTAACTCTCTACTGCAGACTGTATCTACAGTATTTACAGTACTGTACAGTATCACATGTACTGTAACTCTGTACTGCAGACTGTATCTACAGTATTTACAGTACTGTATCACATGTACTGTACTGTGAGTTGGCTATTGCTTCTTTGGAAAAATGGTTTTGTGAAACATACAATACAGTCAAGTACACAGTACTGTACCATTGAGAAGTCACAGTACTGTTTACAGTATACAGAACTATATCATAAAAACAATACTAAACCAATAGTAAACATTTTTGGTTGCCTATTTCTACAGAATGACTAGAAGACCTTCTGGAGGTGCTCCACACCTGTTCACCAACAGCAGGAACATGATCCATAATCCCACTCACGTAAAATGTCTTAGTTTTACATTAGAGTTTTTTATGAATGCGTTACTGCATTGACACAAATGCATTTAAGTATACTGTAGTACTGTACTGTACAGTATATTGTAGTACTGTGCACTATACTGTAGTACTGTTCTTTAAAGTATACTGTAGTACTGTGATGTACAGTATACTGTAGTACTGTGATGTACAGTATACTGTAATACTTTGATGTACAGTATACTTTAGTACTGTGATGTAAAGTATACTGTAGTACAGTGCTGCAGTATACTGTACTGTACAGTATACTGTAATACTGTGATGTACAGTATACTGTAGTACTGTGCTGCACAGTATACTGTAGTACTGTGCTGCACAGTATACTGTAGTACTGTGCTGCACAGTATACTGTAGTACTGTGATGTACAGTATTGAGTTGATATTATTGTTAACTTTTCAGTACTTTAATTTCCTTTGTTGAGAACAAAAACATTTCCATTGAGCTTCATAAAAGACTAACTGATAAACAGAAAACATTTGTTCAAGCAACAGGAAAAAAACTGTAAAAAACATCTTCTGCAGGTGAGGGACATGTACAAGTTCATATTGTTTATAATGTACACATATATAATACATACACATTCTCCACTGACTGAAACAAGGCAGAAAAGTAGAAAGGAGAGGACCACCCTCAATCAGCTCTCAGCCTAAAGCCTCAATAAGTGACTCACAGGGATCTTTCCAAGACTATTTCTGTTGGGACAAAACTCTTACCCTAACTATTTCTGAAGTTAGGGTTAGAGTGTCCTCCTTGTGTCTTTTCATTGCTGCTGCCTCCGTATTGTCATCTGTATTCCAGTGCATTTCAAAGAGTCATTTATCAGCTCCGGTGAAGCTAGCATCACGTTTAGCTGCTACGAGCGCTACATGCTAATGAGACAGAGACAGGAGCAGAGGAGGACAGGATTAATATTCCACACATGTGGGTCTTCAACAGAGACTTTGTGGCTAGAATAAAAGAGAAAGCCCCGTAATGAGGGTTAGCGAGAGGTGAGGTCTGGAGTCGTTTTTACTCTGTCTGTTCAGTCTTGTATTTGAGGAATGTGTATTATGTTGAGATGAGATGCTTGTGTTGCATTAGAGTCTAATATTGTATTTGTAATAACTGGGGAGAATGTGTGAAACACAAACTTCTTCTTGGCTTTACTTTTATTTGTAGGAAACTAAACACAAGACATGTTATAATGATTGTTAAGATATTTTTACCAATCCCCATAGAACTTACCAGAGACCCAACGTTGTACAATAACAAGTGGCAAAAGCAGCTGCTTCTTCAGTCCTAGTGCATTAGCGACTTAAAGTGACTTATTGTACAGTCTGACAGCAGTGGGGATAAAGGCCCTACGGTCCTGTGCAATGGGAGGTGTTGTCCATGATGCAGGTGGCTTTGACACCTCCTGTTTCTCACCTCCTCCACAGAGTCCAGGGCCCCCCGGTCCCTCACCTCCTTCTTGTGCAGGGCGTTGGTGTTATGGGACCAGTCCAGTTTATTGTTAATGTGTAGTACCTGGTCTTAATGAACACAGGTACTTGAAGCTGTCACCAGCTTAATGTCCCCCCCCACAGCACAGGTATTCTCTCCTTGGTCTTACTGGTTCAGCACAGGTACCATCTCCTTGGTCTTACCGGTTCAGCACAGGTACCATCTCCTTGGTCTTACTAATTCAGCACAGGAACCATCTCCTTGGCCTTACTGGTGTTAGCACCGGTACCATCTCCTTGGTCTTACTGGTTCAGCACAGGTACCATCTCCTTGGTCTTACTAATTCAGCACAGGTACCATCTCCTTGGTCTTACTAATTCAGCACAGGTACCATCTCCTTGGTCTTACTGGTTCAGCACAGGTACCATCTCCTTGGTCTTACTGGGTTCAGCACAGGTACCATCTCCTTGGCCTTACTGGTGTTAGCACAGGTACCATCTCCTTGGCCTTACTGGTGTTAGCACAGGTACCATCTCCTTGGCCTTACTGGTGTTAGCACCGGTACCATCTCCTTGGTCTTACTGGTGTTAGCACCGGTACCATCTCCTTGGTCTTACTAATTCAGCACAGGTACCATCTCCTTGGTCTTACTGGTTCAGCACAGGTACCATCTCCTTGGCCTTACTGGTGTTAGCACCGGTACCATCTCCTTGGTCTTACTGGTGCAGCTGTGTGTGTCGTGTGTGAAGTCTGAGGTGTAGATGGTGAAAAGAAACGGTGAGAGGACAGTGCCCTGAGGGGCCCCAGTGCTGCAGACGACCACCTCAGACTCACAGCTGCGCAGCCGCACATACTGTGGTCGGTCTGAGAGGTAGTTGATGGTCCATGCAGTGAAGTAGTCCATGGTCCATGCAGTGAGGTAGTCCATGGTCCATGAGGTTACTGTCCATTCCCGTGTCCTCCATCTTCCGCCGCAAAAAAGATTCAATTCAATTCCATTGCTTTTTGTAACGACTTAAAGAAGCGTTGTCTTTGAGACAACACTTCCTGAGCAGCGCAGAACCCTAACCCTAGAACAAGATTTATTCTGTTGTTTACGAAAAGAGAAAAGTCAGCAACCCCAGCTTTAAAACTTCAAAAACACCTTTCAGCCCAAATATCTGGTTTCATCCAAGATTTATCTGATGGATAATGTATATAAATAAATGTATATAATTCACTCGAAGGGCATAAAACACTAGAGATGAGACTGAATGACATTGTGTGCCAATCATGAACTCTCTGACCCGGCATGGATTTGCCCCTGTGTACGGAGGTCTGAGGGCGCTGCAATTCGGTTTAATTGGATTCAATAGAATATCTGCCTGCTTCTGACTGCTACATTGCATTTAATATTGTCTCTCTCAGGCGATGTTGTTCTCCATTGCTGTGTCTTCTCTCCACTCTTATCTCACATTCCTCTGGCAAGGCTGAAGATAACATGGACTCCTCCAATCTACAACACTCTGCAGTCTCCACCTCGGATCCCGCTCCCCCCGCCTCCCTCCACCTATCCATCTTCTCCTTCTCTCCCCTCCATTCCTCATTGTCTTTCCGACTCACCCCCTCCCTGACCCTGCCCCCCTCTGACAGCCACATTGGGCCGGCAGTCGGAGGTGCTCATCCCGAGAAAAAAATCTGTGGTTTATACAAAGCACAATGTGTCTATCCAATTGTCTGTGAAACTGTATGTTATTGCTCTCTGCTGTTTCTTGCTTGTACACAGCGCCGCAAATGGCGAAGTGGCACGCTCTCTGCCGAAATAATTTCCAAGTGGTAACTTTTGTTTGTTACTTACGTGGCAATAAAAATGATTCTGATTCTGATTCTGATATGGGGACGTATAGATTCTCATATAAATGTACAGTATATATGGGGACATATTTACATTCTCATATAAATGATGGTAAAGTGTATACTTGGCTCCTTGTTTTCCTGCAGGTGACGCAGAGATCCGGCTGTGACAAAATGAAGTGTTTCTTTCGCATCAGTTTCATGCCTCGGGACCCAGTGGAGCTTTTGAGACGAGACGCAGTGGCTTTTGAATACCTCTATGTGCAGGTAATGGATAACCCTAACCCCAGTGTCTCAGTGTTATTCAAGTGTGTATTAGCTCAGTGTTATTCAAGTGTGTATTAGCTCAGTGTTATTCAAGTGTGTTTTAGCTCAGTGTTATTCAAGTGTGTATTAGCTCAGTGTTATTCAATTGTGTTTTAGCTCAGTGTTATTCAAGTGTGTTTTAGCTCAGTGTTATTCAAGTGTGTTTTAGCTCAGTGTTATTCAAGTGTGTATTAGCTCAGTGTTATTCAAGTGTGTATTAGCTCTCAGTGTATTAGCTCAGTGTTATTCAAGTGTGTATTAGCTCAGTGTTATTCAAGTGTGTATTAGCTCAGTGTTATTCAAGTGTGTATTAGCTCAGTGTTATTCAAGTGTGTTTTAGCTCAGTGTTATTCAAGTGTGTATTAGCTCAGTGTTATTCAAGTGTGTATTAGCTCAGTGTTATTCAAGTGTGTATTAGCTCAGTGTTATTCAAGTGTGTATTAGCTCAGTGTTATTCAAGTGTGTTTTAGCTCAGTGTTATTCCATTGTTTTCTAACATCCAGAACTCTGAGATTTTAATGATGATTACTGCACTAAACGTTAATCCTGTTTTGTGTCAGTGAGATTTTTATACAATGATAATGAATGGATCTATTCTGCAATGTTATATTTAAAAAGAACTTTGTATTCCTTTGCTTATGTGACCTGTCAGTATAGCACTGGTTTGAAGAAACTCTTTGTAAACAGTTCTTTGTGATGAAATAAGTTGGTGTAGTTTAACACAGTCTGTAATGTGTTGGAAACATCAGAAACATAATAATCTTATGTAAAGTAAGAACTATACCTGTATAATGTCTCCTTATTCCTCAGTGTTGTAATGATGTCGTGTTGGAGAGATTTGGGGCGGAGCTAAAGCCTGACGCTGCGCTCCGATTGGCCGCCCTGCAGATGTACATCCTCACCATGACGACCAGACAGAGCCAGAAAGTCTCTCTTAAATACATACAGTGAGTTTTCATTCAATTAATGGACCTTGTTAGAGATTATTTACTTATTTGTGACTTGGTTTGGATCTAATTCAAAGCTATTTCAACCCATAAAATACACACTTATATCCCAATAGAAAGAATCTTGTTTTTAGTGAATAGATGGTGTTTGGTCAGAGACTTTGAAGCACCAGTGTCTCGCTGATATCTGAACTCCTAACATTATAAAGTGCTTTGTGTGACCTTGGTCTGTAAGGATGTGCTATATAGATAAACATTACTTACTTACATACTTTATCTTATGCATACTGATAAGTCAGAGCCCTGTGAGTCACTATTCGATGCTTTGGGCTGAGAGCCGATTGGCTGAGTGAGGCTGGTCCTCTCTTTTTCACTTATTTTTTGTCTGAAAAAGTTACTTAGTTGAGAAATTAGTGATATATGGATTTTATTTAAAATAATCTTTTTCATATGATTTCAAAGTTAGGTCCCCCAGCTATAATATATGATCATCTAATTAGTGAAATAAGAGACATTTAATCCTTCACTTCACATGTGGGCAGCACGATGGCTGAGTGGATAGCACTCTTGCCTCTCAGCAAGAAGGTTCTGGGTTCGAATCCCGGTCGGACAAGGGCCTTTCTGAGTGGAGTTTGCATGTTATCCCCGTTTCTGCGTAGGTTTCTTCCGGGTACTCCGGTTTCCCCTACCACTAAAAACATGTACAATAGGTCTGGCATGCGCCTCCTGTACTGGCCCCGCTCCCATCTGAGTGTGGAGTGTGAGATTAATGCCCAAAAAATAACCATTGTAAACTGCTTTAAGACTCTGGTCTGTGAAAGGCGGTATATAAATAAAGATTACTTACTTACTACTTACATGTGTGTTTTCTGGATCTGGAGACATCTCTGAGCAAATGACTTCTCCATCATTAATAAATATATATTTAATCAGTAACTATTAATCTTTTGTGTCACAGAAAAGAATGGGGTCTTCCTCTGTTCCTGCCTCCTGCTGTGCTGTCCACCATGAAGGAGAAAAACGTGAAGAAAGCTCTCACCCACATCCTCAAAACCAACCAAAACCTTGTGCCTCCAGGGAAAAAGGTACAAGCCCTAACCCTAGTCCCTATAGTCTAACCTGCATAGTCTAACCTGCCATAGTCTAACCTGCTATAGTCTAACCTGCTATAGTCTAACCTGCTATAGTCTAACCTGCTATAGTCTAACCTGCCATAGTCTAACCTGTCATAGTCTAACCTGCTATAGTCTAACCTGCTATAGTCTAACCTGCTGTGGTCTAACCTGCCATAGTCTAACCTGTCATAGTCTAACCTGCCATAGTCTAACCTGTCATAGTCTAACCTGCTATAGTCTAACCTGTCATAGTCTAACCTGCTGTGGTCTAACCTGCCATAGTCTAACCTGCTATAGTCTAACCTGCTATAGTCTAACCTGCCATAGTCTAACCTGCCATAGTGTAACCTGCCATAGTCTAACCTGCCATAGTCTAACCTGTCATAGTCTAACCTGTCATAGTCTAACCTGTCATAGTCTAACCTGTCATAGTCTAACCTGCTGTGGTCTAACCTGCCATAGTGTAACCTGCCATAGTGTAACCTGCCATAGTCTAACCTGCCATAGTCTAACCTGTCATAGTCTAACCTGCCATAGTGTAAAGCCTAGTGACGTCACTTGAGCAACGCGTGGATCACCGCAAGACCCTTGCGTAGCCTGCCGCGCACCCTCAAAAATGTCTAACTACGTAAGGGTCGCCGCAAGGAAGCTCCGCTGTGATTGGTCCTTGTGTCTGTATTGGAAGGAAGCACGGAGCGGCTGCAGGGAGCATGGACGAGGCACTATGGAGCAGACTGCTTTGCGCTTTGAAGGAACCGAAGTAGTTTGGGCTCATGGCCTGATATACAGGAGACTGTTCAGTTCTGTTGCATATCTAACATATATATAACTTGTAGCTAACATATATATAACTTATAAACTGTGCAGTCATTTGTTTTTCTCTGTTCCTGTCTTGTTTGAGTTGTAGCTACGTCTGTTGCGTTCCTCCTGCACTTTTAAATAGTTTATGTTTGTCTCAGATATTTACCACTTATTGTTTTGCTGTTTGTGCTGAATACACTTTAATAATAACTGTAATATAGAAATAATATATATACTATATAATAATAATTACTATATTTCCAACAAGAACTGTGTCTTTATTCACAGCATCACAGTTAAATGAGTTGAAACGATGAGTTTAGAACGGTCACATAAACCTACAGTAGAAACACATGTAATGATCTCAAACAGCTTCACTATTTGATGCCCTGACGAAGACCGCTGTTGGTCGAAACGCGTAGGCAGTCCAATTCATTAAAGGACTTTTAATTTTTTCACTAAAACAGAGTGCCTCAGACTACCTTTGTTCTCTTCTGACTTTCTACATGCTTAGATTGCCCCGTCTTCGAAGAGCACCTGTTTTTATTGCCTTCTACCACACGTACCCTCTGCAGCACTCACCTTTTTTACTTTTAGCTTCACTATTGTTTTTGTTCTGAAGAGGAGAAAGTAGCAGCTAGGTCCACTTTGGTTAGGCAACTCCTGTGAGTTCGCCATCACGTGGTTGGTTGTGGGATTACAACATTTGGGGAACGCGCAAGTGTACCACAAACCGTGATTATGTAGGTCCAACGTAACCGCAACCGTAAGCAGCGCCGCGCGAGTGTACACAGGCCTTAACCTGCTCTAGTGTAACCTGCTATAGTCTTACCTGCTATAGTCTAACCTGCTATAGTCTAACCTGTTATAGTCTAACTTGCTATAGTCTAACTTGCTATAGTCTAACTCTGCTATAGTCATACCTGCCATAGTCATACCTGCTATAGTCATACCTGCTATAGTCTAACCTGCCATCGTCTAACCTGCTATAGTCTGACCTGCCATCGTCTTACCTGCTATAGTCTGACCTGCTATAGTCTGACCTGCTATAGTCTGACCTGCTATAGTCTAACCTGCTATAGTCTAACCTGCTATAGTCTAACCTGCTATAGTCTAACCTGCTATAGTCATACCTGCTATAGTCTAACCTGCTATAGTCTGACCTGCCATCGTCTTACCTGCTATAGTCTGACCTGCTATAGTCTAACCTGCTATAGCCTAACCTGCTATAGTCTAACCTGCTATAGTCTAACCTGCTATAGTCTTACCTGCTATAGTCTTACCTGCTATAGTCTAACCTGCCATAGTCATACCTGCTATAGTCATACCTGCCATAGTCTAACCTGCTATAGTCTAACCTGCCATAGTCATACCTGCTATAGTCTAACCTGCTATAGTCTAACCTGCCATAGTCATACCTGCTATAGTCATACCTGCTATAGTCTAACCTGCTATAGTCTAACCTGCCATAGTCATACCTGCTATAGTCATACCTGCTATAGTCTAACCTGCTATAGTCTAACCTGCTATAGTCTAACCTGCCATAGTCATACCTGCTATAGTCTAACCTGCTATAGTCTAACCTGCCATAGTCATACCTGCCATAGTCATACCTGCTATAGTCTAACCTGCTATAGTCTAACCTGCTATAGTCTAACCTGCTATAGTCTAACCTTCCATAGTCATACCTGCTATAGTCATACCTGCTATAGTCTAACCTGCTATAGTCTAACCTGCTATAGTCTTACCTGCTATAGTCATACCTGCTATAGTCTAACCTGGTAAAGTCTAACCTGCTATAGTCTAACCTGCTATAGTCTAACCTGCTATAGTCTAACCTGCTATAGTCTAACCTGCCATAGTCATACCTGCCATAGTCATACCTGCTATAGTCTAACCTGCTATAGTCTAACCTGCTATAGTCTAACCTGCTATAGTCTAACCTTCCATAGTCATACCTGCTATAGTCATACCTGCTATAGTCTAACCTGCTATAGTCTTACCTGCTATAGTCATACCTGCTATAGTCTAACCTGCTATAGTCTTACCTGCTATAGTCTAACCTGTTATAGTCTAACTTGCTATAGTCTAACTTGCTATAGTCTGACCCTGCTATAGTCTAACTCTGCTATAGTCTAACCTGCCATAGTCTAACCTGCTATAGTCTAACCTGCTATAGTCTAACCTGCTATAGTCTAACCTTCTATAGTCTAACCTGCCATCGTCTAACCTGCTATAGTCTAACCTGCCATCGTCTTACCTGCTATAGTCTAACCTGCCATAGTCTAACCTGCCATCGTCTAACCTGCTATAGTCTAACCTGCCATCGTCTTACCTGCTATAGTCTAACCTGCTATAGTCTAACCTGCTATAGTCTAACCTGCTATAGTCTAACCTGCTATAGTCTAACCTGCTAGAGTCTAACCTGCTATAGTCCAACCCTGCTGTAGTCTAACCAACCCTGTAGTAAGTAAGTAAGTAATGTTTATTTATATACCGCCTTTCACAGACCACACAGAGAGTCCTCTCACTCCACACAGAGATGGGAGCGGGGTCGCCGAACAGGAGGCGCATGCCAGACCTATTGTACATATTTTTAGTGGTAGGGGAAACCGGAGTACCCGGAGGAAACCTACGCAGACACGGGGAGAACATGCAAACTCCACTCAGAAAGGCCCTGGTCCGGCCGGGGTTCGAACCCAGGACCTTCTTGCTGAGAGGCGAGAGTGCTATCCACTCAGCCACCGTGCCGCCCAACCCTGCTATAGTCTTACCTGCTATAGTCTAACCTGCCATAGTCTAACCTGCTGTAGTCTAACCTGCTATAGTCTAACCTGCTATAGTCTAACCTGCTATAGTCTTACCTGCTATAGTCTAACCTGCTATAGTCTAACCTGCTATAGTCTAACCTGCTATAGTCTTACCTGCTATAGTCTAACCTGCTATAGTCTTACCTGCTATAGTCTAACCTGCTATAGTCTAACCTGCTGTAGTCTAACCTGCTGTAGTCTAACCTGCTATAGTCTAACCTGCTATAGTCTAACCTGCTATAGTCTAACCTGCTATAGTCTTACCTGCTATAGTCTAACCTGCTATAGTCTAACCTGCTATAGTCTAACCTGCTATAGTCTAACCTGCTATAGTCTAACCTGCTATAGTCTAACCTGCTATAGTCTAACCTGCTATAGTCTTACCTGCTATAGTCATACCTGCTATAGTCATACCTGCTATAGTCTAACCTGCTATAGTCTAACTTGCTATAGTCCAACCCTGCTATAGTCTTACCTGCCATAGTCTAACCTGCTATAGTCTAACTTGCTATAGTCCAACCCTGCTATAGTCTTACCTGCTATAGTCTAACCTGCCATAGTCTAACCTGCTGTAGTCTAACCCTTACCCTAAGAGGGTCTTTATGTGGGTTACGGATAAAGATATTCTGTGTTTTTTGATGGAGCTGAGGACCTGAGGAGTTTTAATATAATGTTGCTGTTCATATAAAACATGTGTCACCTTTTAGGTCTGAAAGATGGAACTTAAGAACAAGTCCAAACCCGTGTTCGTTCTATTAGACCCTACCTACTTAGATGTAGCTGTAAAACAGCCTTCCCACATGGTTCTTTTCTAGTCCTGTTTAGTTTTAATAATCCTTTTTTTTTCTCCCAGTTTTGGATCACAATTCTTTATCCTCTAAACTTTGAGTCTTTTGGGAAATACAACTTTTACTCTTTCATCTTTGGCCTTTCCTTAAACTTCTCGCCAACATGTATAAACTTCTTGACGCAATCTCCAAAAATAGCCGTCTTACAAACTCGCCCTCTGGTCCCATCAACCTTTAGCGCCATCTTGAATATTAATGAGCAAAGTGAGTCCTAACACTTCATTACAGATGCATATTTACACAGCGTGAGGTGTTGAACTGTGGACTTTGTCTGAACGGTGACAGCAGCTTCCGGCAAAGTCATTTCAAGACAAATATTGATGTGCATACGGTTTAATTGGGCTCATGTAAACAAGATGAGTTTGAGTCTGAAGTCAGACTGAACGGGACGAAAGCATTCCTCAAAACTGACAATGTTTGTGTGGCTCCACAAAGCAACTGCTGCTCGTGTGATTATAGTAGAAATTATATACATTCTTATTCATACAAGTCTGAAAGAATTTATCGGATCGTTTCAGATCCAGCAAGAAGCTCTGATGTCACGTGGCAGGAAACACATCCTTATAAAGTTATTATAACACTTAATTAAAACACTTCACTTGTTGCCATGGAGAAGTCATTCCTTTTCTTAGAATGTTACATTGTTACATCAGGTGTTTTTTTCTGCTCCAAAACTATTCCAAACAGTCGATTATTCCAGGAGAGTTCTGTAGTGCATTTTTGAAATACCTTAGTGATTTTTAAACCGTCAACAAAACTAATTTGAGTTTTTAGGGTCAGGGTTTGTAACTAAACTTTTGAAATACATCTCTTATTATTGTTACTACACATTCATCTGCTTGATGCATAAAAAATGGCGTGTGTATTGTTTTTGCTCCGTTTTCTAATTAGGGTTATAGTCTTGGCATTTCAGCACCACGGACAGCGACACACAGCTGCTATTTTCCGAGTTTTCCCCAAAAGACCGGAGCCGATTGGAGCAGGAGCTCCGCATGCTAATCACACAATCCATCGATATCTGAGCACCGCCTCGATGCCTCCTGTAAACAGAGGTTTCTACTGATCTTTGGAGACCAAATAAAACAGAAATACAGGGACATCGTTCAGCTGTAATTTCTGAATACTAGAACTACATATTTCATTTGTTCATTGCTCTTTTTAAACTCATTTTTTTAGGTTAAAACATTTAACCTTATTTGTTGACTATTCATTGCCCTCTACTGCTATTTCTACTTCTACTGCTATTTCTACTTCTACTGCTATTTTTACTGCTACTGCTATTTCTACTACTACCGCTACTGCTATCTCTACTGCTATTGCAATTTCTACTGCTACTGCTATTGCTACTTCTACTGCTACTGCTATTTCTACCTCTACTGCTACGGCTATTTCTAATTCTACTTCTACTGCTACTGCTATTTCTATTTCTACTGCTACTGCTATTTCTACTGCTACTGCTATTGCTACTTCTACTGCTACTGCTACGGCTATTTCTACTTCTACTTCTACTGCTATTTCTACTGCTACTGCTATTTCTACTGCTACTGCTATTTCTACTGCTACTGCTATTTCTACTTCTACTTCTACTGCTATTTCTACTGCTACTGCTATTTCTACTGCTATTTCTACTTCTACTTCTACTGCTATTTCTACTGCTACTGCTATTTCTACTACTACTGCTACTGATATTTCTACTACTACTGCTACTGCTATTTCTACTTCTACGGCTGCTGCGATTTCTACTGCTACTGCTACTACTGCTACTACCGCTACCACTACTACTGCAACTGCTACTTCTACTACTGCTACTACTGTTACTACTACTTCTGCTGCTACTACTACTGCTACTACTGTTACTATTACTTCTGCTGCTACTACTACTACTACTGCTACAGCTGCTACTACCACTCTGTTGGTCCCAGAGCTCAAACCCACCTCGACAGTGATATCCAGGCTAACCACTCTGCCGCTGCAAAAGTACTTTTTATTTCAGTCTTCCCCTAATTCAATGAAGCCTGAGTTGTAATGAAATCCGCCGCTAACACTTTTGAAATGTAATTTTGGTGAGATCATTGAGCATAAAGGCCAGAGGCTCGGATATCGGGGAAGGATGGCTTTAGAATAACCTTTGCAGATTAAGGATGCGATGCTCTGTAATAGGAAGTCACCGGTGCAAATCAAAATGGCCCCCAACAGAGGGAAGTGCGCGTTGGTGATTTAGCCTCAGTGCTGACTAATGCATTGCTTCTCAATCTATGGCCTTTGTTCACATTTGTGCAACATAAAGATATTTTTATATATCAGAAAAACCGACTCCTTAAGGCTTTTTGTCAGAATATAGCAACGGTTTCTACGAGGTTTTAAAAGTGGAATTTAAATGGAAATGTAATTTAAATTTAAACATGGGTTTGGATCAATATTGATAAATGTATTACACACAATTATATTAAATATATATAATGGCCACATCGGCCATAGGTAGCAGACAGAATCTTGTCTTCTCACATTTTATTACTAAAGCTGGGGTACCTAACTTTCAAACCACACATGGAACATTTCCATAAATGTGTAACAACAATAATAATAATGCATGAGTTTTACACAGCGCTTTTCAGGACACTCTTAAATGCATCAACAGTGTCTGCTCTTTATAGACATTATGGACCAATGTCTACTCTATGTGTTTGTTATCACTACATTTCCTGTGTTTGAACGGTTTGATTCTCTGATCTGTGTTAGAAGACTTTACAAAACTGTCGATTCTCCAACAACTGTTAATAACTACTGCGAAACAAGAATAAATTGAATTGAATAGAATTGGAATATGTACTACAATCCTGGCTCTTCAACAGTTTGATTCTAACACTATTTTTCACATGTCTGTTTCTCTGTCACAGATTTTTCAGACATAAAGGTGAAAAAGAGAGAACTAGTTCTCCAAGGTTTCTCACTTTTTCGCACTGGGTTTTTTAAGAGTTTTTCCTTGTCGATGCAGGAGGGTCTTGTTGGACAGTTAGTATCCAACAGAAAGGATTGGTGATGATCAGGACACTTTAGCATTCTACAACATGTATGGACATTTTCTTCTGTGTGTGCTTTATATTCTTCATGTGTTTTAACTGTTGATTCTCTGACCTGTGTTGGTGATTTCAATGGTTTTGTTAAGTCTCTGAGATGACTTCTGTTGTGACCTAGGGCTAGACAAGAATAAATTGTATTGTATTGTATTGTATTGTAACCAACCTCGCTCAGCCATTCAGCTCTCAGCCCAAAGAGTCAAATAGTGACTCAACTTCTTTAAACTATGCAACAGACTCTCTTAATCTCGTCTTAATCTCTGTTGGCACAAACAACGTATCTATGAGAAGTTAGTTACCCCAGCTTTTTATCACAATTCCTGATCTCTCTCCATTTAATTTGACAAACACAATACTGAGAACATAAAATTATTGTGTTCAATCATAGTCATTTTCAACACAGTAGAAATGATACTAATGAATGTTCTCTAATCGGAGTTGTGCTCATGTGTAGTCTTTAGTTTGTTGGTGTCTTACATTCTCTAGAAAAGCAATAGCAGTAGATTCTGCTGCTGAGTAATGTGTGTGTGTTTCCAGCTCACTGCACTTCAAGCCAAGGTGCATTATCTGAGATTCCTGAGTGAACTGAAGCTGTACGGAGGCCGCGAGTTCAGGTCCATTCTTCTGGTGAGAACACACCTTTTACCTTGATCCGTCTGTTGACCAGGAGAAATAATTATCAAAATGACAAATGGAAACAACTACGATCGGGGGCGGTAACAACGGAGTGGCAGACCTCTCTACAAGAAGGGGGATCGGAGGGTGTGTTCCAATTATCGTTGGATCACACTCCTCAGCCTCCCCGGTAAGGTCTACTCCAAGGTACTGGAGAGGAGGCTACGGAACACTGGACCAGCTCTATACTCTCCATCGGATACTCGAGGGTTCATGGGAGTTCGCCCAACCTGTCCACATGTGCTTTGTGTATTTGGAGAAGGCGTTCGACTGTGTTCCCCGGGGTGTCCTTTGGGGGGTTCTCTGGGAGTACGGGGTCCGGGGTCCTCTGCTGAGGGCCGTCCGGTCCCTGTATGACCGGAGCCAGAGCTGTGTTCGCATTGCCGGCAGTAAGTCAGACCTGTTCTCGGTGCATGTTGGCCTCCGCCAAGGCTGCCCTGTGTCACCGGTTCAGTTTACTGTATTTATGGACAGACTTTCTAGGCGCAGCCAGGGGTCGGAGTGGGTCCGTTTGGCGACCACAGGATTTCATCTCTGCTGTTTGCGGACAATGTTGTCCTGTTGGCTTCAACGAACCAGGACCTGCAACATGCACTGGGACGGTTTGCAGCCGAGTGTGAAGCGGTTGGGATGAGAATCAGCACCTCCAAATCCGAGGCCATGGTGCTCGACCGGAAAAAGGTGCCTTGCCCTCTACAGGTTGGTGGAGAGGTCCTTCCTCAAGTGGAGGAGTTCAAGTATCTCGGGGTCTTGTTCACGAGTGAGGGAAGGATGGAGCGTGAGATTGACAGGCGGATTGGTGCAGCGTGCGCAGTGATGCGGTCGCTGTATCGGACCGTTGTGGTAAAGAGGGAGCTGAGCCGAAAGGCAAAGCTCTCGATTTACCGGTCAATCTTCGTTCCCTCCCTCACCTATGGTCATGAGCTTTGGGTAATGACCGAAAGAACGAGATCGCGGATACAAGCGGTCGAAATGAGCTTCCTCCGCAGAGTGGCTGGGCGCTCCCTTAGAGATAGGGTGAGGAGCTCAGTCACACGAGAGGAGCTCGGAGTAGAGCCGCTGCTTCTCCACGTCGAGAGGAACCATTTGAGGTGGCTCGGGCATCTGTTCAGGATGCCTCCCGGACGCCTCCCTGGGGAGGTGTTCCGGGCACGTCCCACCGGGAGGAGGCCCCGGGGAAGACTCAGGACACGCTGGAGGGACTATGTCTCTCAGCTGGCCTGGGAACGCCTTGGGGTCCCCCCGGACGAGCTGGAGGAAGTGTGTGTGGATAGGGAAGTCTGGGCGTCTCTGCTTAGACTGCTGCCCCCGCGACCCGGCAACGGAAGAAGCGGAAGAAAATGGATGGATGGATGGATGGAAACAACTACGACAGAAACAAAGTTTATATTATTCAAGATGTTTTCTTCAAATTTCCAAACTTGATCTGTTTTACTGTAGGATTTTACTTCCTGTAAATTGTTGTAAATGATGAAATCACCAGATGGACCCTAAACTAGACCAAAACCACTCCAATGTACTGAGAAGAAAATATATAATATACATAAGAAAGTAGATTTACTTTTCTATTTTCCCCCGTGCTTTGGCTTTATCAGTGCACAACAATGACCTATTTTTGAAACAGGATATAGGGTTCTCCGAAACCACCAAACAGACCTTTACAAATATACTGCTTTTGTTTTTTTACTTAGGGTTAGGATTAGGGTTAAATGTAATACATTTCCGTCATTCCCTAACCGTCTGTCTGTGAACTTTGACCTCCTGACTCTGACCCCTGACCTCCTGACGCTGACCCCTGACGCTGACTTTGACCCCTGACCTCCTGACTCTGACCCCTGACCTCCTGACTCTGACCCTTTGACCCCCTGACGCTGACCCCTGACCTCCTGACTCCTGACCTCCTGACGCTGACCCCTGAACTCCTGCAGCAGGGAGAGAAGCAGACCGAGGTGCTGCTGCTGGTGGGCCCTCGGTACGGCATCAGTCATGTGATCAACGCCAGGACAAACTTAGTGGCTCTTTTAGCCGACTTCAGCCACGTGAACCGCATCGAGATCCTGACGGAGGACGAGACCAACGTGAGACTGGAGCTGCACGTGTTGGACGTCCGGGTGAGAGAGACACAGATGTTTACTTATGCATTTATAGAAGATTCTTTTGATTAGAGACGTCAACATCATGAGGCCAATCAATAATCACAAACATTCAGGTCGTGAGAATAGTTTCATTATAGCACTAACTCTCTTCATCATCTATAACACGTTTTACTTGATAAAGTCAGACACACAGAGTCGCAGTTTGAATGTGGAGTGAATAGAATCCATCTTACTCCATACTGTTTGGGCCTATCATTAGTTTTTGTGTGTTTCTGGCCTCTGTCACATCTTGTAAAAGATCAAATGTTTTCTTCCAAGATAAAAACAGCATGTTGTGGTCTATTCACCCTAGCCCTGACTCTTTCTGTTGGGATCAACAGCATGTATTATGTAATAAGCCAATCATTGTGGTTTGAATTAAAACCCCAGCTTTAAGTATATTTTAAAAATTGTTAGATTGTTGTGTTGTAGTGTGTAAGCCCCAAGAACTATAGAATAATACTATTCAAGTAGAAGAAAAGCATATTGTCCATTACTTACTTCCTGTTTGTTTCTAGCCCATCACTCTGATCATGGAGTCCAGTGACGCCATGAACCTGGCGTGTCTCACCGCGGGATACTACCGCCTCCTGGTGGACGCTCGCAGATCTATCTTCAGTATGTCCCATTGCAATAGCACTGGAGACGACAGCAGTGAGTTCTTTATGACGTCACAACTGAACTTAAACATATTTATGACTGTTCAACTGTATTAAGATTAGCTTCTTTGATAATAATTTTTTATTTCAATTTTTTTTATAGACCACAAATGTATCTTTGGATATCTACCTCTCCACTATTTGGATGATTTTTTCAATTCTCTAATCTACTGTTGGCAAATTTACAATTCTGTAACAACCTTTGTGGACTACTAATTTAATTTGGGGCGATACACAATTTGTATTATTTCATAAAGAATAAAACCACTTTTTAAGCTCTGATTCTGGATTGGGTGCACATTTGTATACATTTGTGTTTGCAGGCCCCGATCGAGTCGTGGAGTGGCCGTACAGCACCTCTCTGGGAGAAAAAGAGGATCCATCTTTGAATCAAGACGACCTTTACAACCAGGGCTTTCATGGCAACTTCCACAGACAAGACAGTATCCAATCATACAACCAGGACCCCCCAGAGCGGGAAACTGGAATGAACCGGAGTCCCTTACCCCCACCTCTGCCCCCATCCACTCGCCACAAACCGCTAGACTCCCCTAGAAGCGCAAAAGTTTCCTTTATATTCGGAGGAGATCCACCTTTGAGTAAAACTCGAGGCTACGAGAGACTTGTGGAAAGCCCGGATTTACCAGAGCAGAGGCCTAGCTACATGCACAGCAACACGGATAGAACGCCGTATCATTACTCTCATGTTTATAGTAATATTATCAGCGAAGAAGGCGGCGAGGAGCCTTTGCTGAATGAACTTCTCTACGCGGATACGACCGACGATGCGGAGGACGAGGACGAGGACTGTGACGAAGACTCTGCAGGCGGGACTCCCATCTGCGACGAATCCAAACCCCTAAACTACAGCAGCCAATATGGCGGCCCCCCCACGGCCGCCGGGAAAGCTACATTTCTGAGCTGCTCCGGTTCCACTGACGACATCATTGACCTGACGTCGCTGCCGCCACCGGAGGGAGACGACGGCGTGGACGAAGAAGAGGATGACACTGTGTTGGAGACGTTGAACTTGGCCATTGCGGCGCCACCTCCTGGTTTCAGGGACAGTTTGGACGAGGACGCAGAAGGCCGGGTGCTGAGCCGGGATGAGAGCGAAGATATTCCGGTTTCTTTGATAGATGCCGTTCCCACTCACGATGACAGGGATCGTGTGGTCCAGACGCTACAGGCCATAGAAGCCATGTCTCTGTCTGACCAGAGACCGCCTCCCCCGCCTCCCCCTCCTCCCCCTCCAGGCTGCAGCAATCCAGGTGGGTCGTTATACAAGGAAAGCATTCCATGATTTTTGAGTTAAAGCTGGGGTACGTAACTTTCCAACCTCCAAAACATCCCACAAAATTGGCACTAGGTAATCAAATCTAGTATTTCCTTGTTGTAAATAGTTTTCAACCTCACGTCACATTTTAGAAAGAAGGGTGCAAAAGAGAGACATTGCTGGGTTGCAATCACGTGGTCCGAAGGGGGCGTGGCAGGGGACTGTAGGACAGGAAGTGTTTTTGTTAGGCTGGGCGATGCAGGAAAGCGGACACATAGGAGATTTTTGCTGCTTTTTTCTTATTTGGAGTGAAAATACAGCCTACGTCGTGAAGCGTTTCAATGTTTTCAACAATGAGGAGGATTAAGCGGCTGTTCTAGTGACGGCAGTGGATTCAGTGGTGGGGGGGGGCAGTCAGAGCTGCACCCAGTACACATAGCACCAGCCCCTATGTGATCGGATTTGTTCTATGCATTTAACTTTTAGACTCTAATGGAACAAATAAAATGAACATAAAATGAAACAATAATAACCAGGTACCCTAGCTTTAAAGTTGTTTAAATGTTTCTGCGAAGATAAATAAAAGTATTTTACCTCCAATGGTTTATCTTCCCATGAAAATAAGACAATATATATAGTGATACAAAAAGAGACAAAACTCACAGATTATATTGAAATGCAAAGAACATTTGTACTTTGCATTTCAATATAATCTGTTTCTGTATTCAAATATCAAGTTTTACAAAAAACTCACAAACTTTCTTTCTAAATTAATGTCATTTTGATTGATTTGACACAAACTTTACAACAAGAAATACAATGAGGTACTGGGTGCTTTATACAAACCCTATTGAAGAATGAAAATGGGAAAAACAATGATTGTAGGATTTTGATAAAACATGGTGGACAATATGACACAATAGATGAACTGTAAAATCAATATTCCGTAGCTGCACTATAGTGCACAAATATGAGTAGCAAAAACATATTTAGCTTATATGTACTCTTTTCTTTTAGGTGCTTACACTTCCCAAGGCTTTAGTCCACAGTCTTCCTCAGACTCTGGCAATGAGACCAACTCCTCAGAGATGACAGAGATCAATGACCTGGCTTCTCACAGGCTGTTGGTGGCCACTCGCGAGGGATATCAACCTTTACTTGAGGAGAAAACTGAATTCCCTGTCTCCCCATCCACAGGAGGAGGCCTCACAACGCAGACGAAACCAGCCAGGCACCTCCAACCCCCCGCCGTCCCCCCCAGACGAAGCCCCTTCCTGGACGCCCCAACTCTTGGTTTCGAAGGATTTGATGGGAGACCACCTAGCAACATGTCGGCAACGCTACAGCGACCAAACTCCACCACACCTGGAGGCAAGCATCAGCGGAAGTCAGACTCCAGTGGGAAATACAACACGTTTAGCACAAGAGATGGATTTCACAGTGGAAGCAATTTAGATTTGAATCAGCGCACTTCGTTTTGCGATAGACGGGAAATGCAAAGAAGGCAACACTCATTCACCACAGAAAATCTCACCATAGAAGGCAATCTCAGACCGAATCGTCCCATGTCATCAACCTGCGAAAGACTTTTGGAAATTGAGAATTCAGATGGGAGAGCCACAGATGCCGAGCAAGATGAGCATCTAGTCGTAGCTTCCTTGTTGTCGCCGACCAAAAAGGCAAGACCGGTCGGTGCTGATCAAGATTTGCCGATGGAGCACCCGCCAATTTCCAGACAGCAAAGTGTAGCTCGACTGTGTGAATATCATCTCGCCAAACGGATTTCAAATTTACAGGGAGAAGCGCATAGTTCTTTGCAAGGATCTTTATGCTCTTCCTTGGATGCAGGTGGGAGCACAAATAGCAGTAGTGCTTGTGCAACACCAACCGATTCTCCACTCGGGCAAAGTGACTCGAGACTCGCCCACCACCATCACCCAAGGCACCCACTCTCAAGCTCGTCCTCCTCACTTCTTCGGGTGGCAAATTATGACGATAAATCCGGTTTTCCTGGACAGGTTAAAGACACCCACCCTCACGCCGATCCGAACTTGTTGAGAAAAATGCTACCAAACATCCATGCTCCTGGAGAGGGCCGGTGCGCTTCTACTCCGCCGAAACATGCAGCTAGCAAGAAGTTGTACAATGATCTCCATGCGAAACAGGCTTGTCTGAAAGGGCTAAATCCAAAGGAAGGTAGCGAGGCTTATAGGCAACTCATCAACTATCTGACAGTGAGTCAAATGCATCAAGGCGGGAAGCTACATGGTACAAGCGGGGCCAAAAAAGAGAGTAAGCGCTACATTACGAGCAATCCCCAGTTAGTAGAAATGGTTAGAAATAGGGCTAATCCAAATGCGCGCTGTCAGTGTTTACCTCCGTCCGTTTCCTCTCCTTTTCTGAGCCCCGGAAACTCAACCCAAACTTTGCAAATGGTAAATAAGAATTCCCGGGGATATCAATCTGCAACACTTCCAGCCAAACTTAATCGGAGTCCAATCGTGCAGCCGCAAAGACCAAACGATAACATCGATTTGCGGCGATCCACGTCTGAGAGGAGGAGCTCGTTCTCTGGTTTGGAAAGCGAGTTGGAACAAAGCGGCATGGATCCGGATGCGTTTTTATCCACGTATAAGAACAACAGCTGCATGAGTCCCAATGGCAGAACAAACCAACCGCCGCCTAGATCTAGAAGCCAACCAAGTGGGGGTGGTAGTGAGGATTGGCTCAGGCAAGAAGCTAGAGCGAAGCAAGCTAACAGGCTGTTCAGGCAAAGTGAATCTATATGTAGCCAACAAGATGGTGTAATGACAATTGGTAGAGGGGATCACCCTTCAGCATTCATGAGGCAAATGTCAGGGTCAAGATCCTGCCTAACGTTACCGAATCCAAATACGCAATGCGCTCCACCCCCCCCTCCACCGCCTCCAGCACCAATTCAATCTAATAATTTACTCCACCCAGGGCCCATGCAAAACCACATATCCCCAACTCCGCCCGATCACTTTACCAGTAGCTTACAACGCGGCAGGGAGCTAAAGCGCAGCACTAGCAACATCACCGCAAGTTCTGGAAGCGTAGAGGCTCTGTTCGAGAAACCCGTGCGAAGCCATAGCCAGCAACCCCTGACGTGCAACGTGTCGCAGCAAAATGAGACAAAAGTTCAACGCAGGCCGAGGAAAAAGCTGTCCAAAAGCTACTCGCAAGGCTCGGTATCCTCCTCTCACACTACATGCTGGTCGGGTGGGAGTAGCTTTGATTCCAGGCGGGCATCTGTTGCCTTCCCGTTGCAAAAAGACGGAAAAAATATGAAGGGGACACAAAAGTTAGACACTAGTCCTTGGAGATGTAATGGCCCGTTTAGCTATTGTTTCTTTAAGCGTAAAAGTGAAAACGAGGAGGATGAAATAGAGTGGGAAAGGCCTAGAAGGAGCCGTGATTTTGACACGGAAGGAACAATGGGAGCTGGGGTTCCTCTCGTTGGCGGATTCAACCCAAACCCATCTGGGGACCAGCTTTACGGTGAAGTCCTTAATAATATGAGTTTCAGCGATAGACTATCAAGAATCAATGCCCTCAAAGATCGAATGTACAGCTGCCCAACAGGCTTCACAGATGTTAAAAGAGATGTTAATGAACTCATAGCGTTGGTGAGGTCCAGTGTTGGCCGGTGTGATCGCGGCGCTCAAATTCCCCTGCAAGACGTGTCTCAATATAAGCAGTTACTGTCTGTCGAATCGAAGGAGTTGGGCCGGGCTTGTCGGAGGATGGCACAAGCCTACACCAGCCCAGAAGAAATGCTCCTCGCTGTAACGTGTAGTTTCCAGGTGTTGTGTTGTCTGTGCGAAGCTTGTATGTGTCTGGTGAGAGGTATTGGAGTTTCGGCCTCCCACCAGCAGAGGGAGGTGGTGGCCAAAGTCGACGAAGTTGTGATGAATTATATTTGTTTGCTTAAAGCAGCAGAAACGGCAACAGTAGGAGCGCCTGGCGAGCACAGTATGAAAGCACTGGTAAGGCATACAAGTACAATGTCGGCTATCGCTAACGCACTCACTCGCTCCCTTAAAACGCTGCTTAGCAAGTAGAGGCTAATGCTAAAGTGGTATTCCAGCTCTGTCTTTTAGCATCTTTTGAGTACGTTTTGAGCTTTTTTGTGGGTTTTTATTTTTACTTTATTATCAATATATGTCACGTATAATGCAATGAAACACAAATACAACTCAAGAAGATAATGTAGTTTAAAAACCATGGGAAAAGTTTTTATAACATTATTGTCATAGTTTGAATCATTTTTGACAAGACAAAACTATTTACAATTACCAAATAGGGTTAGGGTTTGGGTTAAATATTTAGTAAATAAAGTATTACAGATGTAGGAGATGAAGGCACAGCAAAGTAATGTTATATTACATAAATTCTGTGTTAATGTCCATTTTCCCTTGTTGGTGTTGGTTGAGAAGGTGCTAAAAGACAGACCACTCAACAAACTTGCTAAATACCATATTGCAATGTATATTTATTTACAAAGCCATATTATCAGACCCACTGTACAATATGAATCCGAAAGCTGTGCATTATGTAACTTATTTGTATACAAAACAATGTAAAAACAATGTGATGAAACAAATATGATTGTTATTATGTAGCGTCTAAAGAGCCATGGAAATTGTACATAGACAGTTTTACAGATATTTATTATTATTGTAAAATATCGTAAAGAGATTATAGCTATATCATTTATGAATGTTTATGTTCAATCAATCAATAGTTAACCATACTAATGGAGTTGTATGACAATGTGGTGAATACAGGGAATATAAAGCACTTTTGCCATTGTTGTGTCATCATGTCTTTAGTCCAATAAAATGTGTAACAGTTTTACATTGCTTTACTTTGAGGTTCACTGTGTTAACTGCTTTCTTTAATATATGCTTGAATGATAATCAACACTGTATCACCAAATAGAGATTTCTCTTTGAGGAAATAAATACCTTTTTTTCAAGAAAACGTATATCTGAAATTTATTTAGTTTTTAAATGTATTGTCTATTTGACTTGTGTTAGGGAACGTCTCAAGAATCAATGGCTTCTTATATCTGGAATTAAACTCTTGTGCATGTATGAAAGTTGCGCAGAAAAAGGTGTCAATTTTGGGTGTAGATCCCAGATACGCAAGATCTGACGTGGCATTTATGAACATGTGAGATACGAACAGATCTGAGCGTACGCACCTGCGGCTGTTGATAAATGCCGCGCTCAAAACCAGCGTATTTATGAAAGTCACGCCTATAAGTATTCAGAAGCTGCCTGTTCCACACCCTGTTTTTGCGACAGGTCAGCAGGAAGTCGGCTAAGAAGCCGCAAAAAGCACGCACTTTTGAGTTTATTCACGTTTAAAAAAAATGAATATACGCTATATCATATATACACTTTTTTCCCTAGTACCCACTGCAGCACTCATCTCTCCTTTGCTCTGCGGAGTAAAGGGCAGTGCCTGAGACAGTTTTGAGCAAGATCAGGTGCATTTATGGTTCTTTATGCACAAAACTAAGGAAAACCCACATTGCTTTGCCAGAGGTGAATGAGGCAAAACGAGGAATACAAATAGCGGTGCCTAATTACGCAGCGCAGAGCCTGCCTAAGCAATAGCTGGGTCACACATCCTTGTCGCGTAAAGTGTATTTATATAGACCCTTTCACTGTCCAGGATCACAAAGCGCTTCATATTTTAAAAACATACAGATCAAAATAATACACACAGAAGTCAGATTTAAAATCACAGAAACAGAAGAGGCTCCTCATCATGATCTGGGATTTATTCGAAGTTTGCGTGTTTCCAGAGTGTTAGACTTTTTCTGATGCGCAAATTCAAATTCCGAAACATGATGCTCCATGAAAACGCAGCTTATAATGTTGCCAGAGGGAACATGTTTATTGTTGTCCAAATCTTGAATTTCATGCGTGTTTTGGCGTGTTGTGACGAAGGGTGAAATGAGCGTACACATTTACACCACCTATTGACTTGGTGTAAATTCTGTGCGTACCGTACGCTCACGTCCAGATTGATAAATGCGGAAAAGTGTAAATTTTTTGCATACGTATCATTTACAGCCTGATTTGGCCGTAAGCAAGTTTCATACATTTCAGTTTCCGTTTTCAGTTTATTTATTTGCCATTTGCAGTAAAAAACCACATTGGAATACATTAGCAAAAAGTCTCCAGTGTGACTAACCCTAACCCTCCAGACAAATACAGACAAAAGACAAAAATAAAACAAATAAAACAGTAAACAAATGTCACTGTGAACTGTGTAAGGAGACCGCCTCCTGAAAGGAGGGGTGTTGGCACGGGCCCTCTCCCTGCTGCCTGACCAATATCGGGTCCCACGGCCCCGGCGGTCACCGCTGTGGCCCTGCAGGCGCCACCGTTGGCGACCACCGTTGACCCAAGGTCCGTCATACGCCATACTCCCAGCCTAACTGTAGAGTATGTAGGTAAGTAGGATGTAGACACTTGAAACGACATTTCGACCGTTTAGGTCTTCCTCAGGTTGTGTCTACGAGTGAAGCGAGCGAATGAATGAGTGAGGAGGGTCAGAGCCGCTCCTGATATAGCTGGGCTCCGCACCCTGCGTCCCCATTGGCTCTTCAGAATTAAAAAATGGAGAAACTTAACCTCTTAACATCCGCCTCATTTTGGCTCGTGCACAATGGTTGGGTATACCCAAATGTCTTTGCTTATTTAAAAACACATCTTACATCTCACATGCTTGTGTGATGCATCATTTTAAAGCTAGAGCCTTCTAGTTTATGTAAAAAAACACTAAAATAATGTTTGTCATTCCTATTTTCCTCTGCATCCTTTGAAGTTAGGGAAAAAAACCCAATTTTTTTTAGCCTCGCCTAACATTTTCAATTTCTAAAGGCCCTAAAAAAGGCATACTTCATTGTAAGTTCACAATATTCAAACCCTCTGTTCATTGTGTTGTTGACAACAACTGTCTAAAGTTTCAGACTTCTAAGTTTTATAGTATTTATGCAGTTTCTCCTTTTCATCAAGTAGTGCACATTTGGCACAATTTGGCACACAAATATCTTTACTTACATTTAATCATCATAAAAACAATATTTTTTATTATTGGTACTTATAAGTTACTAATCTATGTGTGTTTTTCTTTTTTAAATGTCAAAGTTATTTTTTTATGTGTAAATTCATTGCAGCTTCGAGAGCGTCTTTTGGCTTCCATTACGCACAATTCTACAGGCACAACATAAGACAGGACACCATTGTCCCACCCCTTGTTCGAAAGCTTTCCTCATTGGCTACAAGGACATGTCAATCATAAATCCCGGAAGTAAAAGCAAACAAGTTGGGATCACAACAAAGATCAGTGATCCATGCGCAAACAGCAGCACTAGCTATACTTACGGGAGCTCTTGCAGACCCAAACATTGGTCTAGCTTTTCGGGAGTAGTCTCATTTGAAAGATAAGGAGCTAAGGAACACGTAAATACCAGATGTTTGGGTGAAAAACAAAGCTAAAAGTCCGTTAAAAGTGAAAGAGTAACATCTGTGCTCTTTTTTTTTCGTTTTTTTCGCTAAAGATAAATGCACATTTTTGGATTATTTCTGCAGAATGGATTTTACTTTGGGAAATACAAGTGGATATAATTTTCCTTTGGACTGTTCCAGAGAGAATGATGTATTGCAAGCTGGGAGGAGAGCTGATTTATTTGTACAGCACAAGCCCAAAGGTAAAAAACTATTTCGGAATTGATTTATTTTGTGCCCACATTATGTGTTATATCTTTTGAATGCAAAGTCTGATGTAGTTGTATATAAATGTAGATAAGAAAATAAGATTTAAAATGATATACAGCTTTTGGGGTTTGGTGTTCAAAATACATCTGCTATTGCCAGCAGAACATTTAAAAACATAAAAACGGCCGCCGGCGCACCGGTTGCTGTAAAGAGGTATCATGTCATTTTTAACTTAAACAAGGTTGTTTTTAACTTAAAAAATAATAAATAATAAAGAATGATGAACTTTAGAATGTTTTTAACATGAACTTTGTTGTTTTTGAATATTTTTATAGAAGGTTTTTTGAAGGTATTTATTATTTTTTTGTTTTTTTATATATATTTTTTTATTCTTTTTTTGTGTGCACCACAGGTTTTAAACCCTTTTTTTTTGCCAACAATATTTTTTATTGAATTTTGATTTTCAAAAAAAGAACAAAACAAATACAAACACAAACAATAAAACAAAATCAATTACATACATTAATCAGGAATATGGTTTTTATACATTATCACTTGGGGATCTATTCAAATTTAATTAAAAATAGTCTAGCATTTTGGTGTTTATTTTTATTTTAGGGCAGCAGAGTAAAAAAAAAAAACAAAACAAAAAAAAACAATTCAATTGTGTTCCGTCTCTTCCATCATATTTGTTAAATCCGTTGTTGCAATATACTTGATGAATGGGTCCCAGATTTTGCCGAATTGATCTTGTTTATGTTTGATTGTATATGTGATCTTTTCCAAAGGGAGTGTTGTAGATAATTCAGAAAGCCATCGTCCTATATTTGGCCTTTTAATGTCTTTCCAACAGAGTGCTATCAATCTCTTTGCTAACAATATAGCAACATTTATGAAGGCCTTGTGACTCTCTCTGAGTCGTGCTTCTGCATATGATCCTAAAATAACAAATTTTGGTGCAAATGTAATTTGGACACTCAGAATATTTTGAACCTGACCCGCAACTTCCTGCCAAAACTTTTGTATTTCTGGACATTGCCAAAGACAATGGAA